CATTCTCTTGTTTTATTTCGCTAACTACAATTTACAATATTTCTCATTTCCCTATTAGGTTGCAAAGAGTGCTCTGCCTATATTGGGTGTAGCAGGCGTGTTTTCGATGCTTACGTAGACTGCTATGTGCAAAGGGAGGGTTCCAGACGTCTGCCCAAGTGCGAGCTAGAGGGTCCCGCGGTCCCTATTCCCGATCAACCGATCATATCCACGAGGGAGGGTCCCGCGGTCCCTATACCCGATCAACCGATCCTATAGAGGGAGGGTCCCGATGGCTTCTGGCTCTATTTCAATCCTGCATGACCAACGAATAATTCTAGCAAAGGAAGTCCCGGTAGTTATTGCATTCGCCAAAAAAAAAACACACGTAATAGTCAGTTAATAAACGAAACAATAGTAATAATTAGGATTGTTCCATCCCGTTGGTTTAAAAAAAAATTATTCCTCTTTGATAAGACAGTTGTTTTGTATCATTAAACTAAACACTATTAGCTCTCCGTTTCTAGTCTAGTATCTGTAACTAAGAATTCTATCTAAGCAGATGAATAAGCTAAATACCCAAATATCTACTTGGTTTCATCTGCATCATTTGCATCATCCCCCAAAATAACCCTCAAATTTCCCCTTCAATTCAGTGGTATTATGACTGTCATAAAAAAAGTTTTTGTTGAAATGACTCTTTATATCCTGTTCTTCCTTAAGTTTAATTTTTAGTAGTTTTAGTGAGGTAATCTAAAGAAGGTAGTTCAAAAGAATGTGAAGTATATCATCTTCTTTAACTTGTTCATGTCGGTTTTGTTGTTGTTGAGCGTTCAAAGTGTATATTTCATGCTAAATGATGTTACCTATTTCCAATGAGGGCTGTTTGAGGCATAAATAAAGAATATAAAAACATACATCGCTTTTACTTGTATGTAGCAAATGTATAACTTTGGAAATGGACAGATATTTATTGGGGTATACCCCTAGAAAGGATTAGACAAAACGACTGTATGACTGTATGCGAGGACAGAGGGCACATGCAGAGAGCAAGTGGTGTGAGAGAGAGAGAGAGATAGAGAGAGAGAGAGAGAGAGTGAAAGAGAGAGAGAGGGGGATAGGGATGTCCTCTATTGGTATCACGACGACTGTGTATGTGTGTGTGCGTGTGTGCGCGCGTGCATGTACACATCCATGATAGACATTAATTGTTAAGACTTCGCTTGCTATCTCCACCCCTGTGACAGGAGCTCGTTTGCCACGATTGCAATTTTGCACAAAACAACAGGCACCAATTTACGGAAGGATTGCTTTGTGCAGCACAATATCTTTGTAAAATTACATATGTCTGGTCTTGATTAGCTCCATGAAAACCATTTTTTAACACTGGTACAGATTAATGTTTCACTAGAAATTAGGTCCTTCCTAATACAGTACATTTCCAGAGAGAGAAATATAAAGAGAGAGAGAGAGCGAGAGAAAGAGAGAGAGAGAGAGAGAGAGCAAGTGATGTGAGAGAGAGAGAGAGAGAGATAGAGAGAGAGAGAAAGAGAGAGAGAAAGAGAGAGAGAGAAAAGAAGGGGGTAAAGTGACTATGGTATAGAGTGAGAGCGAAGCATTCAGATCGATCAAAGATGGAAACAGAAACAGATAAAGGAAAGAAATGGGTAGGAAAAAAGTGAGAGGGGCAGTCAAGAACAACTATAAACAGTGAGAGGGGGAAGGAAAGTGTTTGGATAGGGGAGAGATTACGTGCACCGGTTAGGAGAAGGGAATGGGGTGGTGAGAGCCAGAGGAGTAGAGCAAGAATAACTGTTGTTAAACCAATGCATTGTTGTCATGATGAATATTGAAGATATTACACGAATTCTGTCAGCAGTTATTTTCTGTCTCTCACCGCTTCTTTCGATTATTGCATATTAATTTAACCCCGTACATGCAATACCTATTTTTGTTTCATTTTGTCTAATTAAAGTAGTTTTTTCTTCTCCACATTTGCTTTCGCTTTGTCTTTTTCTCTTTCATCAAGGTTCCCCATCTCAGTCTACATTCTTTCTTTCGCTCACTGTGACCCTTTTTTTTTTTTAAAGTCATCGCTCATTTTCTCTCTTCCTCTTTCTGTCTTTTTTCATTCCCCCTCTATTTCTTTATATAATCTCACTCCCTCTGTCCTTCTCTCTCTATTTTTTTTTTATATCTCTCTCTTTGTATGATCTTACTAACAAATAATATATTTATATCATGCCCTAAAAGTTTCTTTTCAATAAAAATATAAATAGTGAGAAAGCGGGAAACAGAATAGAAAGAGAGACGCTGAGTGTCAGAGAGGGAAAGGAGAAAAATGAAGAAACAGCAGCAAAGATAACAAATGTAGTAGAAGAAGAGAAGAAAACTATCCGATAGGCAATTTGAGAGATTTCAACAAAAACAATTTATTTCTCTTTTACTTCTTATGCAGAAATAAACATCTATTTTCATTTTTAACAAAAACTATACAACTAAAATTATGAAAACATGCAATTGCTTTAACATAAAATAAAGTCCAGGCAAAGCTTTTACAGAACAAAAAACACCCATTTTATCACCCATAATGCCAGGGGCGTTGAAATAATTTAGTCAGGGGGGGGGGTGTTGGAAGGATCAGGTAAACAGTGGCGTACGCAGGATTTTTTCAAGGGGGTGGGTGTTTAACATTTCGAAATCTCTGATTATAAGCTTTCATTTTCTTTATTATGGCTACCAAGGTGAAACTAATTTTAAGGTCCTAAACATGATTAAGTCTTTAAAATCTTTAAGAGACATTTATTATCATCTCCTCAGTGTTTGAGGCTATGCATATATATACCATGCATTGGCAATGATTATGTCTTATCAATGATTGTAACAAGCAAACGTAATGGCAGACCTTCTGGGTATATCAACAAATTGAAAATGTACTTCTATTTCAAGCATTACTTCAATATTCCATCACTTTATTTAATTATTCAGAGAGACATTAAAGGAAAGCACAGCATGAACATTCTCCTATCTATCAAAGCACAACATCAATCTTTTTTTGACATCATGTGAGCATGTTCATTGAACCAATAATCACTGGAAAAGCAATGTAAACCTTGCATCATGCTTTTTTCTATGCCATGTGTTATTACATACCATACTTTCAAAAACTTTGTATGTCCGCTTTGACTATTTGAATACTGCACATGAAAGTGTTGCTCGACTGAGTTTAATACAAAATAATGTTTAAAAGAAGCCCAAACCCTAATTACTTGTTTACTAATGTCTGCTAAACAATCTTCAAAACAATGTACGTACCCGTGAATCATTTACGGCAAATATTGACTTTGCTTCTAATACACTTGTTAACATGATTCAAACAACTATAATAGCACCCATCGTATTGTATGAATGATTGACTGAAACTCGTTTTTTTATCAAGGTTCAGACATCTATTGATACATAACTCAGATTTGGCTGAAAATAACTAAACAATATCCTACAGCAAAATGTGATTATTTGAATAAGTAACAGTTACACATCCAGTGTGGAATAAACAAAATTAATACGCTCCATAAATAAATCATAGATCTATATATATATATTGGAACCCTTATACAGCTGTACATACACCAGAACAATACACTTACAAAAATAAGTTATTTTTGAAACAACTGAACATAAATATATCTCTTTCTCTCTGTATACCACTTTGGTATTTTCTACAAAACAAACTAGCAAATATTCTCTTTTACAAAGAGATAAACAAAAAAGTAGGAAGTACTGATTTTGTTTTGATAATTGTGAGACAATATATCATTAAATGAACTTTCATCTATAGGAGAGCACAAACATTCAAGCTTTTACACAGAAATTAACAACTCACAAAACTATAATAAGTAATTTATTCTCAAGACCATTGGAATTGCATATATATTACCTTTGAGTTTCTTGAGGGGTGAATCTAATTCACATTAAAGTTGGGAGCTGAGATTGTTCGGCAGGTTTCTGAAAACCAAGAAAATATTTGGCAGTTGTGCATTTTTTTACCCAGCAATTCAGTTAATAGAGTTTCAGCCACTATGATATTTCTTTCATTCAGAAACACAGAATTATTTCTATGATTAAAAATTTCTTTTAAATTTCAAATCAACAATTCTAACACATTACATGGTTTGGATGTATCATGATAATCTGTACGTATTTCAAGTAACTTGGGACAGTAAACATACATGTATGTTCTACATACTATAACCATTCACAAACATACATACCATAACCATTCACAAACATATAAATGTACACTGTATTCTATTGCTTAACAGTTGTAAAGTGAAATATATCCCTGGGTTGCTCATAATAAGTAGATATTATCTTTGTGCTTATAATGCAAAATGTATAATCTTCAACTATTTATGAACTAACAGGTGGAAATTTCTATACTTTGTCATTCAAATTTGAATATGACCTACAGCAGAAGAGGTACATCAAACTTCATGCACATCCTCTAAATACTCTTACAGCTTGTTCAGATATGGGGCGGTAAACCACAGCAAAAAAGCCGCTGTGATTTTTTTTTTTAAACGTGTAAATGAACAGCGACTGCATGCAACAAAGGGCTTGCATGGATTCAATGAGCTCTGTGTTATAAGATACAGAAATGTGAAGCATATTACACTTACGTGATTAAAAAAAAAACGTGAAGGTGTACCGCATCAAATCTGAACGAGGCTTAGGTTTATAGCACTAAAATCCTTTGGCAAGATAATAACCTGCACTTGCTACTCTCCACCCAGGTGTTAAATGGGTACCCGGTAGGATGCGACCGTTATTGTCGGTCAAACAGCTTGTGAGCGTCAAGTAACGCCCGGCTGGAATGCTCCCCAGGGAGTGGAGATTGTGCACACAGTGTGTGCGGGCAAGCACTGAATCCAATGACCGGGGTAATAGTATATATTTGTAAAGCGCTTAGAGACATTTGTATTAAGCGCTATATAAAAAGTAAATATTATTATTATTAATACATGTACATGTTAGTAAACCTTACGTAAAGAAACTTTCACCAAGATACTGATTCTATTATTAAGATTGATTAGTTTCTATCTATTGGAGCACATTGCGCTCGGTAAGTAATACAGGAAGGTCATTGACCTCTGACCACTGAACCTCTCTTGCTTACTTCCTGTGGGTCTTGATGAAGTTGATAAGGCCGTTGGTTGAAGAGTCATGGGAGGATACTGGGTTGAAGTCTTTGAGCTCTGGTTGAATGATCTTGGCCAGTTGCTTACCGAGCTCAACACTATAGGCAACAACGGGGGGGGGGGGGGGGAGAAGAAATGATGTATGAATGGGGATTCAACATTGTGGTGTCTCAGATGTCAGCTATCCATCATTTTAAATAATGCCCCCACTTACCCCACTGGTCCAATGGTAGACTTACCCCCACTGGGCGCCCGTCTTACAAAGAGTTGATATCAATCACAACTTATTTGCGATTGATATCAGTCACAACTATGTACATACGAGATAGGAGACTGCAAACTTACAATTGATTGGAGGACTTGCTTCGTCATATAAGTTGATATTCCAATTGATGGACCTACCCCCACTGGTCATATAAGTTGATATTCCCATTGATGGACTTACCCCATTGGTCATATAAGTTGATATTCCCATTGATGGACTTACCCCATTGGTCATATAAGTTGATATTCCCATTGATGGACTTACCCCATTGGTCATATGAGTTGATATTCCCATTGATGGACCTACCCCCACTGGTCATATGAGTTGATATTCCTGTTGATGGACTTACCCCCACTCACTATGAACGTGACTGACAAAGAAAGCGGACAAAATATACAGTTCCTCAGGTAGACAAAAGAACATCCCTCCACTGCTATTATGTAAAAATGTGTAGAACAGGTGCCACATGCATATTCACCTGTTCTACACATTTTTACATAATAGCAGTGAGGGATGTTCCTTTGTCTACCTGAGAAACTGTATATTTTGTCCGCTTTCTTTGTCAGTCACGTTCATAGTGACTGGTTATATGAGTTGATATTCCCATTGATGGACTTACCCCCACTGGTCATATGAGTTGATATTCCATATGATTCCTTGGGTGAAGATCTTGTGTTCATACGTAGCAAGCAGTACGCCGAGTGTGAACGGTGTTAGTTTCTGGAACATGATGGAGTTGGTTGGACGGTTGCCTTCAAATACCTGATACAATTCAAGAACATATACAGGAATGAGGTATGAGTTCTATTCAAGTTAACATGCAAAAGTTTTTTGTACAGACTATGCTCTGGCAAGCTAGAGTGCCTCCGGAGTCAATTTCCAACACTAGTCAACTCCCTCACTTAAACTCTGGGTTAATACTACTAGTGCTGTGAGTTAGCGTGTAATTTTTTCTCTGTGTACACGGCCAGTTTATCTGTGTGTTTACACGGTTATAAAATTTACCAAAACCAAAAGCAGTATTTCAGCCACGAAAGACCAGCAATCCAGCATATTTTTTATGTACGAAAATAAATGGTGTATGGAAATTATTATAAAGTTATGTAACACAAGTGTTGGCCATTTTCTATTCAAGGAAGCTATTCAAGTAGTCTACTCACAAGTCGATTATTTGTTGATTGAGAGTGTATTGAAACTTGCAAATATATCTTTAAAGTAGTGATATTTGAAGATAATATTTTTAATATAGTATAGTTAAAGGCCCACTGCACTACTTGTAGCTACTTGCGCCCTCTATATATAACAAACAATGCCTAATCGGTGACCATTGGTCCCCCATGATCCTCTTTTTCTGATGCTAACTGAGAGCTGAGTTGATGAGATAACCACCTGTCCAGTGACCTTGCAGGGCGGTCTAATCCCTCCTATAAACTACGGCAGGTAAGCTTTAAATCAAAACCCTAACAAACAAAATACAACTTTTTTGAGTGATTGGTACACTTTAAGGAAACATCTAGATACGTAACCTACCTTGTGGGGCAGAATGAGTTTAATATTTTCAGCGGACATCCCAGAAGCCACCAGCTCTTTCTCTGCTTCCTCTTTAGTTTTGCCTGTCATCAGAGCCTCAGTCTGGGCTAAGAAGTTAGCCATTAGGATCTAAGATAAAGGCAAATATGAAATACTTTATTAAGTCACTGTATATTTCTGACTTTAATCCATTCATCACCAAAACAACAACAGCAAAAACAACCCTTCCCCCCCCCCCCCTCTAACATAAGAATAGTAGTCACAATGCACCACTTTACTTTCAAAGTCTATGATGAATCTGATGATTAAGGGTAACAAAACTTGTGTTTAGGGCCCTTATATCTACAGGAAAATAAAATGTAAACAAAACTAAAATTAAATGCACAGATAATATGAATACAACCTTGCTGAAATAGTTAAGATGGACATGGATGTAAATGAGGATTACCAAAAAAAATCATGTTCTCCGACAGGGTTTTATCTAGTTGTAGAAACAATTCACTCACACAGGGCCTTTATCGGCTGTGAAACCAAGATAACTTAATGTTTAGAGTCTAACCTCATGATGTAACCCTCCCTGGACAGGGTTATGAGTCTCTACAGGAGCGATGAAATCAGCTGGGATAATGCGAGTACCTAAGAGAAAAAAAGGAAAAAGAAGTAATTTCAATTGTTTTAATGTCCTTGAGCAAGACATTTAATCTACATTGCTTCTCTCCGCTCAGGTGTTTACTGGGTACCAAGGAGGATGCGTTAGTCATTGTAGTTTGCTCTGCATTATGAGTGTCTGAAAAATGGCTGGAATGCTACTCAGGGAGTGGAGAATGTGCATACATTAGGGCCAGGCGAGCCTAAATCCGATGACCTGGGTAATTCCATTTTCTGTACATGTATTAGATGTTTAATAAATCCGGATTATTTAATTTATTGGTGGTATCAGAATTATTACAGTATGTAGCTTAAAAATAAACTTTGGTATTCTTCATTCTGCTAGGTAAAATACTGAATTGAATACGGCCCCTGACATGGAGCTCATGCACAATATGACCCTAAAAATCTCAATCTGGGCCCCCTCTAACAAAAGTTAGTGTGGAACTCCGTCCACAGCCAGGAAGCATGCCTTCATCCAACACGAAAGCAACAAAACATTAAAGCCCATCTGCACTAGTTTTGCCAGGAGGAATTAGACCTCCCTGTATGGTCACTGACAGGTAGCTTTCTCATTGACTCAGCTCTGAACTAACATACAGGTAAGAAAAAGAGGATCGTGGGGGACCAATGGTCATAGATTAGGCATTGTTTGCTATATAGAGGGCGCACGTAGCTATAAGTAGTGCAGTGGGGCTTTAAAACTGATGGCTGACCTTGATGAATGAGTTGATAGAAGGCATGTTGTCCATTAGTTCCTGGTTCTCCCCAGACGATAGGACCGGTAGAGTAGGCTACACGGCGACCATCACGGGTCACATACTTCCCGTTAGATTCCATGTCGCCTTGCTGGAAGTAAGCTGCAAAGCGATGCAAGTACTGTGGGAGATATACAAATATAATATCTAGGTTAAGAGTTTTTAAGTACTGACAGTAAAACTAAATGATAGACAAGATTTACCCTGTCAAAATGGTATACTGTAAATACTGGTAAGGACAAATAATGTAATTATGAGGCTTCAAACATATATTCATTTTTCATTTTGTTATAATGGAAATATATATTACGGGAATGGTAGGTAAACAACAACACTTTAATCATGATTCATGATATGGACAATTTTCTTGAATATCTCATATCAATATGATACTGATAGAACATTAAAAACATTCAGAGAGATCTCAAAAAAGCTTTTAACTAGATGGATGTTCGACTGCGCGCAGTCTAAAATGATGCCTCCGTCATAGAGCAATTTTTCAAAGTCAAGTTTGGTTGTAATCTATTAACAGGTTCTCAGAATATCATGATTACACGCTATTTTTCATATACATGTAATCAGTTCATTAGCTCTGCCAAATACATACATGACCTAAGTTTGGCAGGAATCCATCGATCGGTTCTTGAAATAACGAGATAATGCGATCACAAGAACGGGACGTTTGGACGGACAACCCAAAAACATAATCATTGTTGAAAAATTAAGTCGATAATGCTGACAACAAAGTCATCAACAATGTCACAAAGTCACAAAATCAAGAAACAAAATCTCCATTGGTATCATACAATTCAACTCCATCGCATGAAATCTGACATACCTGATCATACGGGAGTAGGGCATGAGTCTCCGCTCCAAAGAAGTTGGAATACCACACTCCTAGCATGCCCATGATGACTGGGAGATTCTTGTCCAGGGGAGCGGTACGGAAATGATTGTCCGCAAAATGAGCCCCTTCCAGGAGCTTCTCAAAGTTATCCATGCCGACATAGAGGGCGATAGAGGTGCCGATGGCGGACCAGAGAGAATAGCGTCCATTAACCCACTAGGAAATGAAAGCAAAGTACAAGGATATCTAACAGCACATAGTAATAATAACAACAACAATAATAATATTACTAATATGCAACACGTATAAAGCACCTGATACTATGTTTCCAAGGACATAGGGAGATAAAAGTAATAATTGGAGAGAGGGAGGGAGAGAGAGAGAGAGAGAGATCATTAGCAATTCAAATATTCACAACTACTATTGCTTCTGTGGTATTGATAAATACAGTCAACCTCACATAAGTCGATTCAATAGAACTTTAGAAAGTGTTTCCATGGCAATGATACTAACAAATCCTGTCTAGCAGCAAATGGCAATTCTGAATTAAAAGGCAACACAAATAATCAAAAACAACTCGAAATATCCTCTATCTTTGGCTGTGTGATTTCAGCAATATCTCAATGGTGGTTAATGTCAATCAATATTAACACAAGGGTGCTACACTGCAGCGACTTATTTACATGGTATATTGAACCTTATGATATACTCACATTCCATAATCCAAACATGTTGTTCTTGTCAATGCCAAAGGCTGAAACCTTCTCCTATAAAAAGAAAACGAAAATAGTTTGTAATATCAACTGTATATTTGCACATGGTGCTTTACAGACCTTGGCAAATAAGGGAAATTATTCATCTTATTTTCCCTACTATTAAAGCGGAGGACCAAAGTCAAATATCATACTTAGTTTTTGAGTTGCCTGCCACTACCACACAAACTAAGCACACCTTGTTCATTCGAAAGATTTTAGCATAATACACAACAATTCAGAGATGTTTTTTTAATTTGTAGCGAACACCCCTAAATGGGAGGGGGCATCCAAAAAAGACCCCCTTTTGACAATAAAAAAATTGTGAATAATATTTTAAGGAAACCTTAAGCCACCATGAATTTGAAGCCATATGAAAGAGAATTAAATTATCTACATTTTGATATATTAATTTGTAGTGAACACCCCTAAATGGGAGGGGGCATCCAAAAAAGAGGCCCTTTTGACAAAAAAAGATTGTGAATAATATTTTAAGGAAACCTTAAGCCACCATGAATATCAAGCCATATGAAAGAGAATTAAATTATCTACATTTTGATACCAATTTCAACGGAATTGGGATTATTTAACAAAAATTAAACAACAAAATGAATAGGCAGCAGTTGGTTCTGGGAGACAGGTCTCCTTTTCTAGATTTAGTTTTTAATATTTCAAAATCATCTGTTTGGAGCCAGATGAGCATTGACTCCTATACCTGAGCACAGGGACAATGCCCTTCTTGCTCTGAAGATGAAATATGCCTTGTAACAAGAAACATAACAGCAACAATTTCTTACAAGCATGGCCCTAGGAATCAGTTTTCTAGAGCTAAATTTTGATAAATGTTACTTGAATGGAACACTGTTTGTGTAGTCTTTGTATTGGCTTATATCAAAGTCATATAAAACCCACTGGGAAATGGCTTCCTCCGGGGGCTTCAAGGACACGACCCACCAGTTTGCAAAGGTAATAGTTGAGGGTAAGCATGCAGAGTAAAGCAGGTTTGACTATGTCAGTCAAACCTGCTTCAGTGACCACCTGTATAGAAAAACCACTTTCTTGTTTCCCTTGAAAATGGTTTCTCACTGAAACATGTACTAAAGGAACATATAAATAAAGACCACCTGCGTATAATGACCACTTTTCTTGTTTCTCTTGGGTGGTCTTTATAGACAGGTTTCACTGTACTTAAGATCGCGATGATAGACTTCAAAGTGTTGCTTTAGTTGACAGATGTCGTTTTTGGCAAGTGTCGTAACAGGGTCGCCATACGTGTAGGCAGCAACATGACTCCCAAGAAAAGCCTGGGTCAACCTAAACCGTATCAGAACTGGAGTTGGCCGTACACAACATTTTCTACATAAAATTGGAGCTGAATCATCACCAAACTGCGCATGTGGAGAGATCCAAACTATGGACCATGTCATCGATGTTTGTCCGATCTACAAATCCCCCCACGGCGCTTCCGGACTTCGCGAGCTCGATGATGAGACAATATGTTGGCTTAATAAGGATCTTCCTATGTAGATGATGTACTCCCTGATATTCTTTGCACGAACGAACGAACGAACTGTACTTACAGCATTGGTGGAGAGGGCGACGAAGTGCTTGGCGACATGGGCAGGGTCCTTGGCCGTCTCCAAGAACCAGTTCTTAGCTGAGGTAGCGTTGGTAATCGTCTCCTGGGTGGTGAACGTCTGAAAGGAGGAGAGATCAACAAGAAGAGGAGCCAAATACCAGAGGGAATGCTTACTGTGTGCATAATGTAATACATACAAGTCTGTGACAGTAGAAGTACTGGTTGTTTGATGCAATATGACATGGTATGTGGCACATCTTGTTTTAACACTTATGGAAACTGGTGTTGTGAAATGGCAGCACTGGAAAACATATTACAAACAAAAACTTACCACAGTTACCAGTAATGGAAAAGGGAATATTTGAAGTAAGGGTCAGCAATGGGTCATAATTTAGATCAGAAGTACGAGTCTGATCATTTACAAACAAGAACTTTGATTTCATCACTTTAATACTTGGCACACAACATCACATACAACAAGTGTAAATAATTGATTTTCTTTTACGTCACAGAAGCATATTGCCTCATTTAGTTTTAGTGATGCTTTTTGCATTACATTTTGATCCAGAATGCTTGGAGTTACACTTAATACATGAGCAGAAAGAGTCAAAATCAGAGAAAATTGTTAAAAGTAATTTAACTGTAACTAACCTTTTAAGTTTCTAGATAATAAGAAAAGTAGACTCTTTCTCTGACCTGCGATGGCTTTCTTAGGTGATAACCACAAGAATAATAATGAGAGAAATCTACCTTTGATGCTATAATAAAGATGGTTGTCTCAGAGTTAACCTTTTTCAACACCTCAGCAAGATGGGTTCCATCGATGTTTGATACAAAGTGAACCTTGAGTGGTCCTCCAAATGGTTTCAGGGCTTCTGTCACCATCACTGGACCCTATACACAGACAATATTACCCATAATTATAAACACAACTTCATTGTGTTATATATTTGTTTTTGTTTGTTGATGATCATTACCATATAATGTGTTTGTATATTGGGGAACCATGATTGTACTAGACCTAAGGGCTTTATTTATGCAGTTCCCCATTTCATTTTCAAATTATGAGAATTTTTTTTTTTATCGAGAATGAAATAAATGAAGAAAAAATATCAAGTTAACAAAATTGTTCAAACTACAGATTCATGTTCCTTCTTTTGTTAAATAGTACTTTAAACAGTTTCAATAATGTAGCTTCGTTGTGGTGGTGTGACACTCATCGAATCACTACTAAAGATAGGAGAATTCTCAGCAAAATGATTATGTAATCTCTGAAAGACAAACAAGCAAACTTTATCTGCCTAATATTTCTTCATTCATTACAGGCAAAACACAGAAAATATATGGCTTATAAGTTAAATTTAATCAATTGAGTGTTTGGATTTAGGAAGAAAGTTTAACTCCTTGTTTTATTAGAGGACTGGTTTTGAATCGTTTTATTTGAACATCCTTAATATTTTTGGAGTTTGTACATCAGATGCAAAAAAAAGATCTCCAATTGAAGCATTGTGTACTAATAAAATTATTCATATGCCTAATAGTAATAGCAGATTGACTTACGAGATCTGATCCTCCGATACCGATGTTGACAGCGTCAGTGATTGCCTTGCCTGAGAATCCTTTCCACTCGCCGCTACGAACAGACTAAGGAAACATAAAGAATAATATACATATAATAATAAATAATAATAACACATCCATTGATACAACACAGCTACTATATTACTATACTCTCCTGCATATCATCTTATTACCCCAGCTGAAGCTGAGCCACCAGAAGGTTCTAAAACCTCCAGGGAAATTCTTCCTACATGGTACCCATTTACTTCACCTGGGGGAGAGTGGCAGATATAACTGGTTAGAGAGAAAGAGGACAATTCATCTAGTCTAAATAATAATTGTTTACATTGTCAATCAATATTTTTTTCACCTTAGAATAGGAATACAATGGTTTTGTTTACTCTGAACCAATATTTGTCATTCAACATTAGACAAACTCTAAAGTGCATGAAGCCTTGGGCTTGAATTTTCAATGTCATGGTTCTCAAGTAAACTTCTTTCATACTTTAAAAGGAAGATATACTCTCATGTTTTGAACCCTACGAATGAACAAAGTTTAGTACTATACTACTACCCAACTGGACTTGAATTTGCAATGTCATGGTTCTCAAGTATGTTATTACTGCTTTCAGACTTATAAGGGATATATGTTCTTTTGATAACCAACTGCCAGTGACCATGCAGGGAGGTCTAATCCCTCCTGGCCAAACTAGTGCGGATAGGCTTTTACACATTACAAGCTTATCAAAGGTCTCTACACAGCTCTGGCTTTTCTAAAAATCTTGTGGCTGTCAAAGTTTTGATAGCATTCACAAGTTTCAAGCCAGACACACTCTATAATAACTTTTTTACCTCAGTAAATTTCCTGACACGACAAAGGACCTCATTGACATCTGTCATCACGTCCTTGCCATTGAACAGGATAGGAGTGTTAGAACGGTTACGTAGGGCAACATGGAGCACAGCCCGGTCCTCCGTAAAGTTGATCTTCTCTCCTCCAAACATACGATCTCGAGCTCCCTCCAGGTCTCGAGCTTTAGCCTACAAGGAAAGGATAATATCGGTAGGGATAGGTTTTTAAAAAATGAGCCAGTTTGTAGATACAATCTGAGCCTGGGCAGATGAAGTCATTTGTACCAAAGTTGTAAAACCCCAATTGAGAGTGCGAGACAAATAATGGATTCGCGCTCATGAAAGTTATGCAATCATTATTTATTTATTCATCAATGGTACATTCTGTGATAAACAGGTGGAAGTATTCTTCTCAAGAGGGTATTTCATGAAGCAGCTCCATCACTTTGGCAGTGATTATTCTAAAACGCATTAAGTGGTACGTCTCCATGTGTAAAAGATCTGTGGATATTTGGGGGTCATATGTATCAAAGCTACCGGGTAACTATGATCTAGCCTATTTGTTGGGTCTGTGTGTTTGTCATTAGTCAAAACATTCTGCAAGTACCACAATTGTGATAATTACATGTAAATGTAAAAAGAGATTGCTTTGTAAAAAGAGATTGCTTTAGTTGTCTTCTATTATTACTGCCTCTTCTTTCATGTCGTTATTATTGGTCCCTCTAATTTTTGTTTTTTTTATATACATCTGTGCATGCTTTTTGTTACCTTGTACTGTACATGTATCTTTTCAGTATTCATTACATCATTATTCTATAAAAACAGAAAGTATCTTATGTCACTCACTCAAGTAAATATAATAATAATGATAATTATAAATAATAGTGGGTTCTTGTATAGTGCTTATTTGTTCAGTTTAAATATTATAAATAGGTTTTTTTAAGGGGAAAAAAGTAATTACAAAGTAAATGCTCTGTGACCTGCAGAAATTAAAAAGCTCCTACATCACTTCCTAGCAACTTTGGTAGCTTCAGATTTAAAGATATATACAAATAGCACAACATACATGTAATTGAATCTTCATTTTTGACAATATCTTGAAATATTTATCACAGGGCTCATTTTTTTCATAAAGGTTCCAGATCATACTTTTAGGGTTTGTGTACTGAGCGCCTGCTAGAGTCGAGCCCTGCCTAACAAACAAAAGTTAGTATTTAGTTAGTATGGAACTAAGTTACCCTAAATAGTTTTAAAGCATCCTGCTTTTGATGGATGAACTAGCTTACCAGCTTCAGCAGGAAACCAAAGACTTCATCATCCACAAGATTCTTGGAAAAATCAAGGAGGAAGTCTCCATCTGGAGTCGGAATAGTACGGCTGAAGAAAAAAATTGAGGCACAAGGTAGTCGATCCAGAGAGGATGACAGTGAGAAAAATACATTGGAGTAGAAACTATGATTTATTTCTGGAACATCCTATACAAAATTACAGGTTCTGGAAAAACTGAAAAACCACTCTTTAACAAAAATAAGTGAAAAGGTAAGCGAATAAATATTGTATCACTGCAATACAATCTCACTTTTTTAGTTTAACAAAATATCACTACAATTTGTTTTAAACTTTTAAAAAATGGGTAGAGTTTATATCTTTAAACTGGGTGATGATGATGATGCACAAAAAATGACCATTCCAAAATGTGGGCGTGGCAGGGGGTGTGACAATTAATAAATTTGTTTAATCAATTTAAACTGGCCACAGAAGTCTTTAAATCTAACAGGTTTTTATCCATTCAAGTGTGTTTCAGATATATTAAATAAAAGCGAATAAACATTGTATCACTGCAAAACAATCTCACTTTTTTAGTTTAACAAAATATCAGTACCATTTGTTTTAAACTTAACAAAAAAGGGTAGAGTTTATATCTTTAAACTGGGTGATGATGATGATGCACAAAACATGACCATTCCAAAATGTGGGCGTGGCAGGAAGTGTGACAATTAATCAATTTGTTTAATCAATTTAAACTGGCCACAGAAGTCTTTAAATGCTCTGGACCGGGGAATGTCAGCTGAATGCCGTTCGTTCGTGCGGAGCAGTGAAAATAGAAAGAGATTTACCTGTATTTTTCAAACCGTTTTGGATCGGATTTCATCAGCTGATTGAGGTTCAATTTGCTTCCGACTCGGTCATAGCATGCCTTGAGTTCTTTATATGCTGGATCGTCAGTCAAAAAGGTAGCAGCCATGATGGAAATTTAGCAGAAATCACAGACAAATAGGCGGAAGTATTTCAACAGAGACGGGAGCTAACCAGGTCTACGGGCAAATAAAACAATATACTGTGACGAGCAATCAATCATTAGTCCCTTTGTAATCACCCAACGTAATTCACTGCTCTAAGAAATCAAACATGAATGCCGAATTCTCAGTTGAAAAAATGCAATGCTCACTTGGTCAACAGGTAGGGTAACACAAGTGCAAACTGTATTATGTATAGCCTCGGTGAGGCTGTCTGGTAGCGGATACAGTGTAGCCACCTTGGCTGACTAGTAACTCCATGCTGACACGGAGTACTTGTCAGGATGCTCGTGTCCGGCCAGGCGCTTTCCGTTCGTGTGTCACAATATATGACCGGACCTAGCTTGATGGCTGGAGTTCACTAGCACTGCTCACACAGGGCGTAGCACCAATCATTCGTCCGTCGACTTGCAATCGGTCACCTCAAACATCTGAGCACAGCATGACTCAATCGAACATCCTTCGAGCAATCAATCATTAGTCCCTTTGTAATCACCCAACGTAATTCACTGCTCTAAGAAATCAAACATGAATGCCAAATTCTCAGTTGAAAAACTGTAATGCTCACCTGGTCAACAGGTAGGGTAACACAAGTGCAAACTGTATTATGTATAGCCTCGGTGAGGCTGTCTGGTAGCGGATACAGTGTAGCCACCTTGGCTGACTATGCTGACACGGAGTACTTGTCAGGATGCTCGTGTCCGGCCAGGCGCTTTCCGTTCGTGTGTCACAATATATGACCGGACCTAGCTTGATGGCTGGAGTTCACTAGCACTGCTCACACAGGGCGTAGCACCAATCATTCGTCCGTCGACTTGCAATCGGTCACCTCAAACATCTGAGCACAGCATGACTCAATCGAACATCCTTCGAGCAATCAATCATTAGTCCTTTGTAATCACCCAACGTAATTCACTGCTCTAAGAAATCAAACATGTATGCCGAATTCTCAGTTGAAAAACTTTAATGCTCACCTGGTCAACAGGTAGGGTAACACAAGTGGAAACTGTATAGCCTCGGTGATCGAGGCTGTCTGATAGCGGATACACCAGGGACATGCTGTAGACATGTCTAGTAGCTGGTCCATGGATACACAATCCTCCCGTGCTAATATTTTCACTTTACTTATGTAGCCCGCCTCGACCCTTTAAATGAAGAGAAAAGACAGACACGCGTTATTTCTTGGTAAAAGTAATAGCAGAATTCTTTTATTTAGACAAATAATCAAACACATGAATGTATACAAAATAATAATATAAATATGTTGAGTTTAGACATATATATATCAAGATACTGTAACCCCGAGGTTATTCAGTCTCCTATAATAAACTTAACATTGATAACACAATGTATTAACGAGTTCCTATTTAACTTATATTTACATAATTATTAATACAGTTTCATTATCGAATCGAATAGACACTAACCTAGTAACATATACAGATAATGATTTATATTCCTAACTAATATGGTGATTCGTAATACCCTCTAACTCTAAAGGTATTATGAACTTCATTGTATATCGAATCATCAAAATGCTTATCTATTATCCTCTCAGATTTATAGAAATATAATATAACATAGACCTATGTTGTATCCTTCAAGCTAGCACACAGCACATATATATTCTCAGGTGTAACTATCGTTTTAGGAAAACGAGCTTATCAATCATTACTGCTATCTGCATGATTCACCTATTAATGCACTATTATTATGCTTACACTACCCATGATATGACATAGAAACAGAGAAGAATAATCATGAACTATATACAAGACAAGAAATATAGACTAAAGAATATTGATTGTCTCTAAGAAATCTGATAACTTCCACTTATACAATATACAGCGATACATGTTGTATTAAGCCAATCGATATCCTAAACATCAATCTTTAAACAATAATATGCACGACAGTTCCTGAAACCTGAGCCAACGTCAAGTGTGGCCGTCCCTGATGACCTTGAGGTGGTGTGGATCAAGCTCCAGCCAAAAAGACTTCCCCGCTCTGTTTCCACAGTGGTGGTTGCGGCAATATATCATCCTCCTAATGCCGCGACTGCTGACACCCTGATCGACCATTTGCTGCACTCGATGGACGCCATTGCATCTACACATCCAGAGACGGGTTTCATTTTGTTGGGGGACTACAATGAGTTAGACATCTCGACGCTAACCGCAAACAGGGGGTTCCGACAAGTTGTCAGTGTACCAACAAGAGGTGACCAGATTCTGGACAAGATAGTCACCAATATGTCAGTCTACTATAATTCCCTAACAACTCTACCCCCATTGGGCTCAAGCGACCACCTTGCGGTTTCCTGGATCCCTACCCAATACTCACCGAAGCCCAATCGCACAAGAACTCGGATTGCAAGACCAATCAAAGACAGTGCTATTCGCGAATTTGGACAGATTCTCCAGAACTATGATTGGTCTCCAGTTTATCAAGCCGAGAACACGAACGACAAGTGCGATACGTTCTATTCCACACTTCTGCCATTGATTGACGAGTATTTCCCCTTAGTTGTTGTCAAATGCCACGACAATGACAAACCATGGATTTCCCCTAAGATCAAAGCGCTTATTGGTGCACGTCAGCAGGCTTTCATAGCAGGTTCGAACAAATGGAAAGGACTGAGGAACAAAGTAATTAAACTAATCAAAGGGGCAAAATCTGAGTTCTATGTCGGACGCGTGCGTAAGATGAAGGAGAGCAATCCATCTCAGTGGCACAAGAACATCAAATCAATGGCGGGAAATAAGCCCAGCCCACCTGCCATTGAGGTCGAAGGGATCGACGAGTCAGACCTCGCTGCTATTGCTAACACGATCAACAGGTTCTTCGTCAGCATAGCTGAAGACATCGATAGACTCGATCTGACTGATCTCCCAACCTATCTCCCTGCTCTGCCGCTGCCTGAAATTAAACCTTGGGATGTCTACTGGGAATTGCAACATCTTAACAGACGGAAAGCTCCCGGTCCAGATAGCATCCCAGCTCGGATCATTTCCGAATTTGCGTTAGAACTGAGCAGCCCTCTTACGGCCATTTTCAATGAATCTGTCAGAGAATCGGTGGTGCCACACCGCTGGAAACGTGCAATTGTGGTACCTATCCCCAAAGCCTCCAAACCCACCATAGGAGACTTGAGACCGATATCGCTCACAGATCATTTCGCAAAGATCCTGGTGAAATCCATCTCAAAGTGGCTGGTGGGTGACATTGGATCTGCGATTGACAAGTCACAGTACGGCAATAGGAAAGGCTACTCGACTACACACTATCTGATAGATGTACTAAATACCATCTATCGGAATGCCGAAAATCCAAAAACGGTCACAACACTGGTAGCTACAGATTTCAGCAAACCTTTCGACAGGATAGATCATGGACTAGCGGTTAGTAAACTACTCGAAATGGGGGCATCCCCGTCTTTGGTGGCATGGATTTCCAGCTTCCTTTCCAATCGAGAACAATGTGTGCGCTACATGTCACAGCTCTCTGACTGGATGGAGATCTCGGCAGGTGCCCCACAGGGCACTCGACTTGGGCCGCTTATCTTTCTCTGCATTATCAACGACGTGTTCAAGGACAGTGATGTTCAGTGTTGGAAATACGTCGACGACCTCTCCCTGCTTGAATGTAGGAAGGCAACGGACCAACCCAAAATCCAAGAAGTGATAAATGAACTTGAGAAATGGACCAAAGACAATAGCATGAAACTATCTATCTATCTATCTATCAGGCTATAGTTCATCCAGACGTTGGACAAAGCCCTCCTCATGAAATTTCCATTCTCTTCTGTCTCTAGCTGTCCTGGTCCAAGCGGCCGTTCCCATGTATGATGTTAGGTCATCTCTCCATCTTCTCTTCTGCCTTCCTCTTCTTCTCTTTCCCACCCTTGGTTGCCATTCTGTTAAACGATTTGTCCATCTATTGTCCTGCAGTCTTGCTACATGCCCTGCCCATCTCCACTTTGATTCTCTTACTTTCTCCATGATGTCTTTAACCTTTGTTTTCTGGCGTATGACTTTGTGGTTGATTTTGTCTCGCAGAGATAAATGCGACATCTTTCTCTCCATAGCTCTTTGAGTAGTCACAAGCTTCTGTTCTAGATCCTTTGTCAATGACCATGTTTCTGATCCATATGTCATAGTTGTTAGAATGCATTGGTTGAACATTCTTCTTCTTAGTGACATGGGTATGTTTTTATCGGTCAACATGTCTTTGTATCTTCCAAAGTTCATCCATCCTGCTTTTACTCTCATCATAACTTCTTCTTTTGTGGTGTCCTCCATTTTCAAAGTTTGTCCCAGATACTTGTAATTGCTCACTCTCTCTAACGTTCGACCTTCTATCTCGATGTTTTCATCTGTGTCATAATTAGTCATATATTTAGTTTTCTCTTTGTGCATAGTTAGGCCAATACGTTTGCTCTCCCTGTTGAGACCTGTCAGCTGGTCTTCCAAGTCTTTGGTTGATGAAACTGAACCCTAGCACATGTGTCGTCATGAACATTCAGTTCATGAGAAACCAGGCAACCGTCCCAAAAGTAAAAATTGGCGACCTGGACATAAGTGAAGTACAACTAGTTAAGCTTTTGGGTGTGTTTGTACAGGAGGACTTAAAATGGTCATATCATGTCACAGAAATGGTCAGGGCGGCAAGCATGAGGCTACACATGATGCGTATCTTGAAAGGTTTTCGGCTACCTGTTGAGGATCTGAAAGTTTACTATAAGATTCTTCTTATAGTAAATGATATTTTTTCATGTAAATATGTTTCTGCTTTCTCTCCAACAGTTGCAAAAGACTGATATACATCTTCTGAAATATTACCTTTCAAAATTTGTGATACAATAATACGAAAAAGTGCAGTAGCTAAAAAAATGTATTTCTAATGTCATAAATTTCGATGACATGTCTGTCGAAACATATGACTTATGGCTGGATAACAAAAACGTAAGCATACTATTACCTACAAATTAACGTTGACTTGTAAAAGTGCTTGCAAAATGACCTACTCATAGGTAATCTTGTTTTTCCAATCTGTTAACAATATTCGTATTACCTTTCTAGTTCGTCTAATCGGTGGAACTAATGACGCTGAAGGTAGAGTAGAGATTCTACACGATGGCTCCTGGGGAACTGTCTGCGACGATTCCTGGGATCTCAAGGACGCCGAGGTTGTTTGCAGAATGTTAGGCTTTGATGGAGCCTTTGACGCTCCACTTGGTGCTCGATTCGGTAAAGGATCTGGGAGCATCTTCCTCGATGAAGTTCAGTGCCAAGGGACAGAAACTGACGTTAAACGTTGCGATCATGACGGCATTGGTGTGCACAACTGTGCCCATAATGAGGATGCCAGCGTTATTTGCATCCAAAAAGGTATGGAATTGCATTCTAAATGTATTTATCGGTATTAAGTGTAACATTTACGATAAAGAATTAACTACTTTTGTTCCTGTTTTCCTTGGAAGTTTTTACCACGAGATGTAAAGATTTCTTAGAGTTGCTGACCTTAAACTACAATGGAATTTTGTATTGATTTGCAAAATGGTTGAACACACGTTTTGGGGATAAAAATTTAAAGTATTCTCGTTCCTGTTGTGGAAAACATTTTGGAAGTCCAGCTCCTTAAATCCATTTTCATTCCAAATTTCATTTATATTCGTGCTCCAATTCTCATTTAGATCTCATGACGTTATTTGTAACCGGTGAAACAAGCAACACAATTAAAACCAATGAATCTGGTCAAACATCAACGCCGAACAACCCCTTTCAAAATCTACAAGTGAAGATTGTAATACCGGGCTTTTCATACTGCTTTCAATCATCTTCATCGTAGCAACACTTGCATATTGTGTGCGTAGGGCCATCAAGTCACGGGCAAGATCGAACTTAGAAAATGATATTTACATGGATGTTAACGACACAGGATTAAACCGGGACAGGTTTGTTGCCTCTACTTATCAGGATCTGAATGCTCCTCCAAAACTCCCAGAACGACGGTTAACAAGGTTGAGTAAAGTTAGTACGATGAAAGAGCCCTGCCAGAACCAGCGGTTTAGGACGGATGAGGAGCAGATTTCTGCACAACAGACCAGAATAGATGACAACACCCACGACTATATGGACATGACTCCTAGAAACAAGACAGCTTCAACGAACAAGGATGCACAAATTGATGCTTATAGCCTCCACGTTGAAAATAAGGACACGGATACGTTACCACAAGATGATACAGCGACAGTATCAAGAGCAATCTGCCATGATAAAACATGTGAGCCAGTAGGTCCTGTGCAAATTATTACACAAAATAATCAACACGGTAATATGGTTATGAACACTGTATACAACAAATTTACGATAGAAAAAGATTTAGATCTTGACGGATATCTTCTTCCAAGTAAAACTAAAAGTGGAGAAGATGAGCCGCTAGGTAATGCACAAAATAGTTTTTCCTCACCACTGGAAGATATAGACATGGATGGATATCTTATGCCAAGTGATGCAAAACGTATCAAAAACGACGATCCAGGCGACGATCCTATTGAATGACCAGGCAATATCATGCCTGACAGTGTGCATGTCTTCCTCGTGCTGTGTATCGATGATAGTAATGGGTTTACAGGGGGATCATTATAAAACGGCGATTATGATGTTCCACATTAGGACGAAACTCAGCAGATGGTTTGGTAGTCACATAGCATATTCGTGGACGAAATTAGAGGAAGTGAAATTAATCTTCAGAAGCAATATTGTCCAAATTTGGAAAAGAAGGCTGGTAACGATTGTATTTAATATGTTTCCACTGTTCTATGCATTGAAAGATGTAGGCATATGTTTCTTTTAATGGACCTTAAATCTACCACATAGGCCTATGTATCTATATAGAGGTAGTTCTAGATTAGTATTCGAAAAAAAATTCATTAAAAAAAATGCTAAAAACATTTGCAAAAATGTCGACGAATATCTTCTATTTTATTACATTCGCCCCCCCCCCCCAAAAAAAAAAAAAAATAAATAAAAAAATAAAAAAATAAAAGAAGAAGAAAAGAACACACGTTATAGTCAGTTAAAAAACGAAACAATTGTGATAATAAGTATTGTTCTATCCCGTTGGTTTACAAATGTGTGGTTGCTTTTGAGGTAATTATTAATTCAATATGATAACTTATCATTTAAAAGAAAAAATTATTCCTCTTTGATAAGACAGTTTTTTTTGTATCATGAAACTAAACACTATTAGCTCTCCGTTTCTAGTCTAGTGTCTGTAACTAAGAATTCTATATAAGCAGATGAATAAGCTAAATACCCAAATATCTACTTGGTTTCATTTGCATCATCCCCCAAAATAACCCTCAAATTTCCCCTTCAATACAGTGGTATTATGACTGTCATAAAAATTGTTTTTGTTGAAATGACTCTTTATATCCTGTTCTTACTTAAGTTAAATTTTTAGTAGTTTTAGTGAGGTAATCTAAAGAAGGTAGTTCAAAAGAATGTGAAGTATATCATCTTAACTTGTTGATGTCGGGTTTTTTGTTGTTGAGCGTTCAAAGTGTATATTTCATGCTAAATATTGTTACCTATTTCCAATGAAGGCTTTTTGAGGCATAAGTAAAGAATATAAAAAACATACATCGCTTTTACTTTCATGTAGCAATGTATAACTTTGGAAATGGACAGATATTTATTGGGGTATACCCCTAGAAAGGATTAGACAAAACGACTGTATGACTGTTTGCGAGGACAGAGGGCACATGCGGAGAGCAAGTGGTGTGAGAGAGAGAGAGAGATAGAGAGAGAGAGAGAGAGTGAAAGAGAGAGAGAGGGATAGGGATGTCCTCTATTGGTATCACGACGACTGTGTATGTGTGCGTGCGTGTGTGTGCGCGTGCATGTACACATCCATGATAGACATTAATTGTTAAGACTTCGCTTGCTATCTCCACCCCTGTGACAGGAGCTCGTTTGCCACGATTGCAATTTTGCACAAAACAATAGGCACCAATTTACGGAAGGATTGCTTTGTGCAGCACAATATTTTTGTCTGGTCTTGATAAGCTCCATGAAAACCATTTTTTAACACTGGTACAGATTAATGTTTCACTAGAAATTAGGTCCTTCCTAATACAGTACATTTCCAGAGAGAGAAATAGAGAGAGAGAGAGAGAGCAAGTGGTGTGAGAGAGAGAGATAGAGAGAGAGAGAAAGAGAGAGAGAGAGAAAGAGAGAGAGAGAACAGAAGGGGGTAAAGTGACTATGGTATAGAGTGAGAGCGAAGCATTCAGATCGATCAAAGATGGAAACAGAAACAGAGAAAGGAAAGAAATGGGTAGGAAAAAAGTGAGAGGGGCAGTCAAGAACAACTATAAACAGTGAGAGGGGGAAGGAAAGCGTTTGGATAGGGGAGAGATTACGTGCACCGGTTAGGAGAAGGGAATGGGGTGGTGAGAGCCAGAGGAGTAGAGCAAGAATAACTGTTGTTAAACCAATGCATTGTTGTCATGATGAATATTGAAGATATTACACGAATTCTGTCAGCAGTTATTTTCTGTCTCTCACCGCTTCTTTCGATTATTGCATATTAATTTAACCCCGTACATGCAATACCTATTTTTGTTTCATTTTGTCAAATTAAAGTAGTTTTTTCTTCTCCACATTTGCTTTCGCTTTGTCTTTTTCTCTTTCATCAAGGTTCCCCATCTCAGTCTACATTCTTTTTTTCGCTCACTGTGACCCTTTTTTTTTTTAAGTCATCGCTCATTTTCTCTCTTCCTCTTTCTGTCTTTTTTCATTCCCCCTCTATTTCTTTATATAATCTCACTCCCTCTGTCCTTCTCTCTCTATTTTTTGTTATATCTCTCTCTTTGTATGATCTTACTAACAAATAACATATTTATATCATGCCCTAATAGTTTCTTTTCAATAAAGATATAAATAGTGAGAAAGCGGGAAACAGAATAGAAAGAGAGACGCTGAGTGTCAGAGAGGGAAAGGAGAAAAATGAAGAAACAGCAGCAAAGATAACAAATGTAGTAGAAGAAGAGAAGAAAACTATCCGATAGGCAATTTGAGAGATTTCAACAAAAACAATTTATTTCTCTTTTACTTCTTATGCAGAAATAAACATCTATTTTCATTTTTAACAAAAACTATACAACTAAAATTATGAAAACATGCAATTGCTTTAACATAAAATAAAGTCCATGCAAAGCTTTTGCAGAACAAAAACACCCATTTTATCACCCATAATGCCAGGGGCGTTGAAATAATTTCGTCAGGGGGGGGGGGGGGGGGGGCGGGTGTTGGAAGGATCAGGTAAACAGTGGCGCACGCAGGATTTTTTTCAAGGGGGTGGGTGGTTAACATTTCGAAATCGGGCCAAAAATTTCGCAACGACTCAGCCCGCCGCTTTATAAGCGGGGAGGTTATGGGGGGGGGGGGGGAAGAGGACACTTTTTGTTTTGTTTTTTGGTCCCAAATAAATCGCAACGACTCAGCCAGCCACTGAATACGCGGGGGGGGGGGGGGATAAGAGGTTATTTTTTTTTTTTTACATTTTGCTCCGGGGGGGGGGGGGTAACCCATAACACATCTGTCCCTTTCCTTAGCCCCTCCTAGCTAACCCCTCGACGCCCCTGGTATAGAATAGTTTTACTACAGCCACAATATCCAATCTTAAATTTTGGCAACATGTCCCTTCTTTTATTGTGATTCTATTTGTTTTATTTTGTTGTACAATGTATCCATTATATCTTAATATCATTTTACAATGTTCTGCAAGTCGGCCCACTAGCCGCGGCGAACGAATCTTGTACTTTATTCAATACACCAGTTTAATTATTAAAATGAATGAATAGTTTTCATCTGAAGGCTATAATACAAAACATTAGGATTTTTTTTTTTTAATACAAGGAAATATATCAATATATATGACTCTTTAAACAAATCAGCTCAGTGTCTTATGTGCACCAGCATTTACCAAGAAATGAAAGAGTTATTTATTTCACCAATAAATTAATTAACATATTTAAAGCAAGTTCTACACATCACTTTGTCATTTGTCATGCTTGGCAAACAGACTTTGGGAAAATCATTGTCCAACAAAGAATTCATCGTTGATCCTTTTTTTTTCTTCATAAAATATTGTGATCATGTTTATTATACTTTTTTCCGAGAGATCTGATCAAGTTTGAAATGATTGACGATCAACCCTGTACAATGACCCTATAAGCGCCAGTACTTCAAAGGGTCGTTTCACTGTTCATTTCGCAATTACTTTGTTTACTATGTCAATCTGACATGATGCATCAAAGACGCGATACGAGCCCATGACGCAGTTATACGTCACCAAATTGACGCAGTCCTAATTAATGGATATTACGACCACACTCAGTTCAGTCTCCAGCATTAATCGACCTCTTCGACTCGTGGTCCACCAGCCGGCTGCTGCTGTCCTGATCCTCCTCCGCTTCCCTGATGAAGCTTAGCCATGATGGGTGAACACTTCTTTTGCAACTCATCCGTCTTAAACTTAAACTCATCCTTATCGGCCAACGAGTTGCTTTCCAGCCATTGGATAGTGTCTTCCACCGCCTTGAGGATTGTCTGTTTGTCCTCTGCAGACAGCTTGCTTTCAAGCGCAGAATCGTTGACTGTAGACTTCATGCCGAAGGCGTAGCTCTCTAGTTGGTTCCGAGCTGAAACGCGAGCGAATTGTGCTTCATCTTCAGCTTTGTATTTGTCTGCATCGTTGACCATCCTGTCAATATCTGCCTTGGACAACCTTCCCTTGTCATTGCTGATGGTGATTTTGTTGGTACGACCAGTGCTCTCGTCCTTGGCTGTGACGTTTAGGATGCCATTAGCATCAATGTCGTAGGTGATCTCGATCTTTGGGACACCGCGAGGTGCAGGAGGGATTCCAGACAGTTCGAAGTTGCCCAGGAGGTTGTTGTCTTTGGTCATGGAGCGTTCGCCTTCGTAGACCTGGATGCTGACCGCGCTTTGGTTGTCTGCGTAGGTTGTGAAGGTTTGTTGGGCTTTTGTTGGGATGCGGGTGTTGCGTTCAATCAGTTTGTTCATGACACCGCCAGCGGTCTCAATTCCGAGAGACAACGGGGCAACATCCACCAAAAGAACGTCTTTTACCTCTGAGCTCTGATCCCCTGAAAGGATGGCAGCCTGCACTGCCGCACCATAGGCAACGGCCTCGTCTGGATTGATTGACTTGTTCAGTTCCTTTCCGTTCAGGTAATCCTGCAGGAGTTTCTGGATCTTGGGGATACGCGTGGAGCCACCAACCAGAACCACGGTGTCGATCTGGTTTTTATCGAGTTTGGCGTCCACAATGGCGCGTTCGACGGGCTCAAGACTCTTTCTGAACTGATCCGAGCAGAGTTCTTCAAACCTGGCCCTGGTCACACTGGTGTAGAAATCAATGCCTTCATAGAGGGAATCCACCTCAATACTTGCCTGGGTACTACTGGAAAGTGTACGCTTTGCACGTTCCGCAGCGGTACGCAACCGCCTCAAAGCACGGGGATTGCTGCGAATATCCTTCTTGTTCTTCCGCTTGAACTCTTCCACAAGATGAGTCACCAATCGGTTGTCGAAGTCCTCTCCTCCAAGATGTGTATCCCCTGCGGTTGACCTGACTTCAAAGATTCCCTCATCAATGGTTAAGATGGAAACATCGAAAGTTCCACCGCCTAGGTCGAAAATCAGAACGTTCTGCTCTCCGCGGAGCTTCTTATCCAAGCCGTACGCTAGAGCGGCCGCGGTGGGCTCGTTGATAATACGCAAGACGTTTAACCCAGCGATCTTACCCGCGTCTTTGGTCGCGGTGCGCTGCGAGTCGTTAAAGTAAGCCGGGACGGTTATAACCGCGTCGTTGATCTTGTAACCGAGGTAAGCTTCAGCTGTTTCACGCATTTTTGTGAGGACCATAGAACTGATTTCTTCTGGAGCAAAGCGCTTGGTCTCGCCCATGTACTCCGCCTGTAACATGGGTTTGCCGCCGTTGTTGGTGACCGTAAATGACCAGTGTTTCATGTCAGACTGCACAGCCGTATCATCAAACCGACGCCCTATCAGACGCTTCGCGTCGAAAATTGTGTTTCGAGGATTCCTGTACAATAGAAAAGATAAGATATAGAAAAGATAAGATGGAGAAAAAAATAATGAATTATTAGGGAAGTAATATGATTCAGTATTAATAGGCCTACTCTAATAAACAGGTCTACAAAACTTAATGTTATAAAAACCAGAATAATTTAGTTCTTCTTTTCAAGGTAAAGATTATTACCATAATTCTTTTGCAAGTCCCGTTATCAAAATAAACTTGAAAGAGATGAGGAAACACCATAACACCGACTCCAATCCCTCCAGATAATTGTGTCCGAAATACAGTGGTCATGATAGATCCATACATTTTTGATGGAGCGGGAGCGGGGGGCTGTAGAATTATCAACATATCGCTCTTCTTGAAAAAATGCCTACATAATTCTAGGAAATAAGACACTACCATCAGATATTTGCAACAAACAGGGGCACTCATGAAGGGCATAGTTCCGAAGGGGGTGGGCGCTAAAGGAACATTGGAATGTGCCTCCTCAATTAATGGTAACAATTAGACTCATCTTGAAGATTGTCAATAATTAATTTGTATTGAATTAGTAGTGGTTATTTTACCTGACATAAATGCTTTAGCAAGCAGTCAGAGGACTGAGGGAATGAAAATTAATGTCTTATCAAAGGGCACTAGCTCATCGACTTGGTTTTGATTTCGGGTCGCCGGATTACGAGAATACTGTTCTACCAATACTTTAATATTTAAAATCATAATACAACATTTTGGATTCCATTTCAATAAATTTGAATTAAGATTAAAATGTGGATTTTGATTGAAATTTTATCCTAGGTAGTTGTATAGCTAAACCCTTTCTCCGCCCATTTCCTAAATCAGACCTGAAAATGAATGGATGCCCCTTCGATCACCCCTATAACCCTTTACAACGATCCACCACTCACTACGCCCCCCCCCCCCCTCCTCCGTCGTGCTGGCACGCCTGGAATGTAGTCATGGCTGTAATAAATCTATATGGGCCGTCTGTACAATACAAGTAACGTTAAATTGTACTCTACGTCTGTGATGAACATGATGAACTAAAGAATTTCTGACTAGGGGCTGGAGGACTTTCATAATTTGTAATCTGATCATACAGCAATCATACTGTAGTGGCATAGCGGGTATGTGTGTTCAGGGAGGGGTAGATTTCTTTTTTTCATCCCTCGAAAATAGTTACGTGATATAAGTTAGTATTCACAAAAGGGGATAATATATAGATAATAATGAAATACTGTAAACGACAAATATGGAAAGAGGAAGGGGCCCAGACCCCTTGACCACCCTATCCCCTGTGGATCTGTTACCATCGCCACGCCCTCATCACAACCGTCACGCTCATCAACAAAACCGCGAGCACCAGTGGCACAGATTCCATCCGGCATCCATAAGCCATCATTCCCATTTCAAATAGCCCAGTTCAGACTCACAGCAACTGGGTTCTTTGCCGCATCTTCGATCAATCAGTGTCATTGAACACCACTATAAACAGCACATGCACCATCATTGGTATCACAAAGTTAACTATCACTATACCACAACCATCTCCCGATACCACTCAAACAACACCCCAAAATAACCTGATCATCAATAGCCCAGTTCGTACTCACATAAACCCCTACCACCAACGGCACGAGAGCCATCCCCTTCACTAACAGTGCCCCCAACAACACATGCCATAACTATCACCATCACCAATAGCCCAGTTCACAATCGAAAAGCAACTTGGTTCTTTGCCGCATGCCATAACCATTACCAATAGCCCAGTTCATATTCACAAATCAACTTGGTTCTTTGCTGCACCTCCGATCAATGTCTCTGTATCCGTGAATGCCACATAACTGGGCGTGGTCCTGTTACCCTGGTCATTGGCAGTGACGCTACCCACCATCATCACCACCACCATCGTCATTATCACCACCGCCATCTCCATTATAATCATTATCGATATCATCACCATCTGAAAGGATATTACAAAATTATCCCACTTATCAACACATAATATAAACAACCCAGTTCATACTCACATAGCAACTTGGTTCTTTGCCGCATCTCCGATCAATCTCTCTGTATCCGTGAATGCTACATAACTAGGCGTGGTCCTGTTACCCTGGTCATTTGCGATGATCTCTACCCTGCCGTTCTGGAAGACGCCCACACACGAGTACGTGGTCCCTAGATCAATACCGATCGCTGTCGGGTTGGACATCGTTGTCTTAAATTTTTTTCTGTGAAAATAGAATGTTTTCAATATTGGTGATCTTAATTTTGATACATTTTAACAATATTGGATTATGCTCAGTCAAACAATTTACCCTTTTAATCCTGTTAATTCAGTGTAATATGGACGGTAGAATTCCACTCTTTTAGTAGTCATGTCACGATTACTTCGTTTTTTATTTGTTGAATCCCCTCAAAAATCATGATGGAATTTACTAAAAAAAGGACTGGTTCGAATTTACCCTTTTGAGAGTGGATTTAACTTTCAATTCCGAAGATTGGCGGAGCGGGTCGGGGTGGGGGTAATTTTTGATAAATGTTTGTTTACCTTTGTTGTTTGACATAATTTTGATACGTTTAACCAACATTGGATTAAATTTTACTCTACTAACATACCCATTCCCCTCCTTTGCTTTTCTTTTTCTTCTCGATCATGAGCATAGATTGATCCACGCGAAAGTCCAATTACGAATAAGCTGTTTTTTCGAACCAATTAACCATTAATATAAACATTTCAAAGACGATACATGCTCAAGGAGAAAAAAGAAGCAAATTAACAATAATGAAAGAACTATTGTTCGATCGCGCATGGTAAGGTTTTTCAAAATGTAATTGGTTGATGAATTATATCTCACCTAAATACAAATGAACAGTATTTAATTCCATTAGCATATCACATCAGGAGAGTGAATAAACAAACAAAAGACGTAGAGAATAAAAAAAAAAAAAAAATCAACTTGAAAATAACACAATAACCATAAAAAAGTAATTAAAACAATTCTTACCTTGGGATTTAATGAATGGGGTTGAATTTAACTTCGCGTAAATCCTCGTTATTTTCCACACTTCAAACAACTGCAAGTTATTTCCCAAGAATTGTTCTATTGAATTCTCTCTCGTCTCCAAGCAAACTTCTGAATGATGAAACACTCCTCCAAAGTGATAGTATGGGACTGCACACACCCTGCTGAGCTACTCTCTGGTTGTCTGTTGAAGTATATAAGCTCGTAGCTAGATGCTGAATCGGGAAGTAAAGAACGACCGGAATGCTAGGTCTATATATCGCTCCCCACAGTCTCCTTCCAGAGCATTCTCCAGCTCTCCCGGCCGGGCATCTATTTATGAGGCCAGGCGCAATTCGCGGAGGATGTGAGTAAGATGAAAGGATTAAAATTTGAGACATAAACGACAGGGGCGGGTTAATAAAAACAGTTGTTTTTCAATAAGTAATATATATCGCTTGTTTATGATTTGATTTGATTTGTTTTATTGTCCACATAAATGTAAATTCTTTTTTTCACATGGTTACAAGGTATATACATAAAGCATAAGTCAAATGAACAAGCTTAAAATTACACATTACTCATTAATGACCGAGTAAGTCATATTAATAATTTAAAGTTATTCTTCATACAATCAACCCTTTTACCAACACATTTATCTTCATATTCTGTTGTTTGTCTGTTTAGCAACATTTATTTTAATATAATGCGCTTGAGCAACATTTTGTTGGATTTTGTGTTACATGTGTTTTACATGTGTGTTTAAAAACAATCCTTTTATGAATGAATGAAATAAACAAATATTTAGGCCTATGTAGCGATAGTTGATATTGCGCTTTCACTCTTTGTCTTTGGTCACCTTCCTCTCAAGTTCAAGTATTTTAAAAAGATATATTATTAGCGACTGAAGTTAAAACGGGAGCTGTTAATCACTATTTTTTGTTATTGAGGATCTCTCTTTCACTCCCTCCTTAGTGCTTTGCATTAGTCTACCGAACTCAACTCCTATCGTCTTCTCTTTAAAACATATAGGCCTACTGTTTGATGATGATAATAGTGGATAACGCTGATAATGATGAAAATGATAATAAAAATATGACAATAGTAATAATGATGATAATGATATTAATAATAATAATAATATTAGAAACATAATAATATTAATAACAACAACGAAAATAATAATAATAAACTAATAATAATAATGCTAAGAAGAAGAAGAAAAATGATAAAAAAACAACAACAATATAAAGAAAGAGAGGCAGAGAGAGAAGAAAAGAGAGAGAGAGAGAGAGGGGAGGGGCGTAGGGTAGTTGGAGGTGGAATGTAATCTAGTTATTTCACAATGATCACTGACACTTAACTGTTATGATGATGGGCTGTGCAAAGGTCGATGTCATTCAAGAACATTCCATTCCCTGATCATTCATCAATGCATCACTACGCTATCACACTATCAGGTTTTACTTACAATCAGACTCATTACATTGCAACAGGGAGAGAGAGGATAGATTATGAGAAAAAAAGAGAAAACGAGAGAAATTAACACAAATGAATTTGGAAGAGAGAGAGAATAAGGGACAGAGGAGGAGAGATAGAGAGAGAGAGAGATATGGGGAGAGAGAGAGAGAGTGAAAGAGAGAGAGAGGGATAGGGATGTCCTCTATTGGTATCACGACGACTGTGTATGTGTGTGTGCGTGCGCGTACGCGTGTATGTACATGTGACAGGAGCTCGTTTGCCACGATTGCAATTTTGCACAAAACAATAGGCACCAATTTACGGAAGGATTGCTTTGTGCAGCACAATATCTTTGTAAAATTACATATGTCTGGTCTTGATTATTAGAGCTTAACTTTTTTATATTTGATTAATATTGGTCAGCCGCATACAAGGACCACCTCCTTTCTGGCTGCTACCAGCATTAGCAATTTCCTTTGTATTATTCATGTTTGTAAATTAATTCTGTGTATTTCTGTGTTTATCTATGTTTGTAATTGTGTGAAACTTTGTATACTGCTTTTGTTTTACCCTGTATGTTTTTTTATTGCTTGGCAAAATTAGCTCCATGACAACCATGTTAACACTGGTACAGATTAATGTTTCACTGGAAATTAGGTCCTTCCTAATCAGGCGCGTGCGCAGGGGGGGGGGGGTTAAACCCCCAACCCCCTCCCCCCTTTGGTATTTGTATGTGTGTTGTTTTTTTGTTTTTTTTAAATTATTAACAAAAAAAGAATTGTACCAACGATTCACCTAAAAAAGGTGACCCCCCCCCCCCCCACCCAACGAAGCAAAATGTCAAATTTTAAAAATTTCGAGACAAAAAAAAAAAAAAAAAGTGTCCTCTTACCCCCCCCCCCCCCCCGCGAAATTTTTGGGACCAAATTTCAAAATGTTAACCCCCCCCCCCCCCCCCCCCTTGAAAAAATCCTGCGTACGCCACTGTTCCTAATACAGTACATTTCCAGATCGTTCTCGGCATGATGTATTCCTACAAACATGTGTGTCCTCGAAAAAGTAGTAGCCTACTGATCACATGTACCTAACGATCTCTGTATTCTTTGTTTTGAATATGTGTAATCACTATAGATATGGGCTCTTCAAATTGGCTGTATCGGTAATAGTAGGGACAAATTTTTCCATTTGTTCTATTCTCTTCATAGGACATTTCGCTATCCATGATATACTTTGAGTAGTGCCCCACGGGAGAATGTAATTAGGAGAAAAACAGAAATTAATTACTTGTTTGTACACGAGAGAGTTATTTGCATAGACCTAGTGATCTCATATTTCAAACATCCAAACCTTTCTTATTACTGGTCCGATTTATTTCAAATTTCGCCAATCTGTTCATCATAATTTTCTGCCTTCATACAAATGAACTTAGTACAAGGGTTGGATTGCCTTGTAAGGGAACCTTTATTTACTCAACATATATGCAATTCTATAACGTGTAGGCCTGAAAGAACATATGCACTGTACTATAATTTTAGTAAAATAGGAGGTAGTTGTAGTTTCGTATGCATGCAATGCTATTTAAGTGTAGGCCTAAATTATATGCACTGTACTAGGCCTATATATCATTGAAACTTTAAAAAGAAACAAGTCTTCGGCGTCTGAATATTATTTGCTATATATTATTAAGGAATTAAAGCAAACTTTGATAACTGGAGTCTATTTAGATTTCTGTATCCCATTATGTTAATGTTCGGCGTGACCGCAATTTTTATTGGATGTCGTAGTTCCTGGATTATTTTACTTCCTATAACGTTGAACTATGTGACCTAGTTTCCGGAGTTGAGGGAAGAAAAAAAAATCATTATTGATGTGTGTGTGCATGTGTGTAATTGTATATGTGTGAGTATATATATGTATATATGATTGCGGAGAATACTGGGGAAAGATGGCAACGTTGAAAGTCCTGACACTGTTTTTATCAACTCTGTTTCCTTTCTTCTGTTTTCCGATATTGATACAAGGTAGGTTGCTATCATCATTTAACATCCATCTTGGTATGAGATTGATTGCGTACTAGTGTGATCATGACCAAGTCAATGCTATATCAAGTTTATAATTGTTTGTACTTATTTTCTAGTGATAAGACAATACACCCTTTCACGGTTACAAGAGTGCGCATGCGCTGACATCGGCGCCATTTTAACTTAATGGCGCAGCAGTACATGCGCATCTGAAAACATTGATAAAGCAATATTTACTCGGAAATTAAAATGGCGGCCTTAACTTAACTTTCGATTAAGCTTCTATGCAGCCGTAGTCCAGTGGCTTAAAAACATGACAGAAGAGGAGAAAGTCGGGGATCAATACCCTTTGGCAAGACATTAAATCTACATTTGCCACTCTTCATCCATGTGTTGGTACCGGTAGAATAGGGTTCCTTAACTGCTGTGAGAACCGACATCGGTAGCCTAGCCCGTGGTACACAGGAGCGCATTAATTATTGAGCACCTTGCGTGGTGGATCTGTGCACGCATTATCCAATATACGATATTGTTGATATCAAATTTTCCATTCATAATTGTAACGTTATTTTTCCAAAAAGGGCTTACCCTCACAGTCCTTTCTTCGTAATAGGCCTATCAATTGTATAGATTTTGATTAAAAAAACTAGTGCGTGTAACTTTACCAAGACTGCGCCAAATTTCTTATCATTTTGATGATTCCAGAACCTTGCAGTACACACCAATACTTATAAGCTAGATGATCAACCTTTTCTGATCGATTGCACAACGTTTCTTTCACAATGCAATCGCATGACCAGAACTGGTCTTTATCTTTAAAGCTTGAGTGTCATATTGTCATACAGTACATATATAACTTACTAGCTACATGGCTTGAAATCCAACATTCATGTGGAAAAAGAAAATGAGTGAAGACTTATACTGTTAAAAGAAAATATATCTCGGTATTTCAGGTGAGGTTGTTCATATCACAGTGGTGACCTTGGGATATTACACCAGTTTAGGATCTAGCCATTGTCAGTTGCAATGTTACCGCAGCGAACCAGATAGAAATGCTTCACTATCATTTGGTCGGTCAGCACCCATAACAACAGACAGATCACCACCAGAAGATGTCCAACACTCAAGTGGAAATCCATTCCTCAGAGTGGTGAGATTCCCTACAGGAGATGGATGGGATAGAGATGGTTTCGGTCCTTTCTACTGTGAGGCTTCTAAATCTGATCGAGATGTTACAAGGGTTACTACATTTTTCCAACGAAATAATGGTAAGAATATTACCCCAATCATTATAATTAGTATAGGATTTCCTTGTTTTTAAACACATTCTCCAAATGTAGACTGAACACGATGTTCTGTAACAACAGAGGTAGGTTATCTTTGGCGATGAAATTGTATGTGTGGTATCTACTGATATACTGCATTTATCATCTAATGAAAACGATGCGCTACTTTGAAAACATTATGCGTACAGCAGCAAAGCTCATACTGCAAGACTGTTTACTGAGGATAGGTACCGAGAGTGATTCAATAAAATTGCTCCGCTTATGACGCTTTCACACTGTTGAAGATTAATGCTTGAGAATGGCACTATCACAAAGGCTTGATATTTCGCATGTATAATGTCAATGAATCTAGAGATTCTAAATAGGATTCTGTTCAGAAATTTCAGTCTTAAAGAGCACGAAATTGTTATCACCAAAACCTATGTTACATTTTCTTTGAAAAGCGCAACCCTGTGTATAATACCCGACACTCTTTTCATAATTGTGCATTACCTAAAGGCCAAACGAATTATAAAATAAGGAGTTTAAGTTATAGAGGAGCGAAATGCTAGAACATAATTTTACAGGAACTGAAATCCATAGAGAATAAAAATGTTTTTAGAAAACACATCATGTCACCACCTAGGTAGCGGGGGGGGGGGTGAGGGTGGGGGGCTGACCCTTGGGAGGAGAGTCAATCAGACTCTCGGTTTACAATACACCTCTCTGTTAATTATTTACCTTTTATTCATTATTGTTAATTTGTATGTGTACATTATAATAATTCATGTTTTCGTTGTTTATTTTTAGTTGTTGATTTGATTCGATTATTTTGCATATTTTTATGTTTTGTTATCTTTTGTTACTGGATTTTTTGTGTGATATAATTTGTATATTTGTTTATTCAGTCACGGACTTTCTGAAAATCAACCGATAGGCTGAGAGAGTGACCGTGCTTAAATAAATAAATGAAATGAAATGAAATTGTTATCATAATTATGTAAAGCAGTATTGAGCTGAGCCTGAGATTATCCTAATTATGTTGATGTTGTTTATTTACATTCGAATGGTCGAACGAAAATCCTAACAGATTTTGACATACACCAGTCCGTTTGCCATGTTCATGATCATGACATGTTCATGATATCAACTTCTAATTGAAAAATAGCAGTTCTGGTGAAGTGTTAAAAAATAATCTTAAGAAATATATGTTAAATTTAGCTTATAGTTGATACCTTTCATGTCCGTACCTTTCCTATTGTACTTTTGTCTATTTATAATGTATTTCATCTTTTGCACAAGTTGCGCCTTGAGCATTTGATTGTCAAGTGGATTTGGTGCTTTACAAATCTTATGTATTATTATTATTAAACCCTAACCTGTCTATCTGGTTAGGGTTAGGGTTAGGTAAACTAATTGAATGCGAAGTCTTATAAAAGCATACGATATCCCGTGACCTATGTGTGCTACATAATATGTAAAGCATCAAAGTGAACATTGTTTATTTGGTTAATAGCTAAGTTCATAACAAGCGATGGATTGTTTACAAAGACAGTCAATGTGAATGACACCGGAGTGACGATCACCATGACTAGACGTTATGATCCCGATGTGAGTGACAACGCGATTACTTGGAGGAAAGATGGAAGTGAGGTTCTTACATCATTTGTCGGGCAGACTCAGATCAGCTTCCCAAACCCAATCCAGACATCAGACCAAGGGTTCTATGAGATCTACTATAATAACGAGAGGCATCAAAGTAGAGGAGGACTATACCGACTCATTGTCAGAGGTACATGTTAGTTTATTCCTGCTTAATTCAAATTCTTTAGTTCTGCGTTCGAGAACTTTATTGTTTAATAAACTTTTCAATTTTCTACTTCCCGGCGTTTTATTTTACCCTGCTTATCTTTTTATCTATTCTCATCTTTGTTATGATGTCATCTTCAGTGACAAGTAATTTACATAATTATTTTTCTCTCTCCCTATCTCATATTAGAATGCCCTGCTGGTAAGTGGGGTCCCCCTGGGTGTTATGGTATCTGTAATAAATGCTACAATGGTGGAGTCTGTGATGACAAATCTGGTCTATGTATCTGTCCCAACAACTTCAAAGGACCGAATTGTTTAGAAAGTAAGTAGGCCTGTAAAACTTCATGTAGAATGGTGTTTTTTATATTTTTAAAACTCTTAATAGATAAATTGAGAAAGATATTTATTGTCTTATTCCATTGAAAATGAACAGAATAATCTACATCTCTTTTACATGTTCATTTCAAATATGTCTTTCTTCTACCGGACAAACTTCTGTTTATGAGGTATTGTCTCTCATGTGTTACGAACAGTCTGTTATATAACGTAAACTAGCTTTGTAAATACTTTGTAAATATACCCTTTCTGTACATGTACAGGTATAGACACTGTACATCAAGGAAATTTATAAAACAATGCATACACAATAAGATACAGCAGGGAAAACGATTACCTTTTCTCAATTCTCAATTCTCAATGCCATATAAAATGTCTAAATAATATCTGAATAAATGTCAAAATAACAAGAATGTTTATGATCATTGTAGTAACAAACTATTATTTGTGTAGAGCATTATACACCGTCGGTAATTTGCAAAGGAGATTACAGGAAAGCAACCATATATACAATTAATCTCATGAAATCTTATTCTTAATGCAAGTCTATATTAAATGTTTTGATTCAATGGAGCAACTATTTGTTTTCAGTTTGTAATACTGGCGGTGGAAATCGACTTGGATTTAACTGCGAGTTTCAATGTTCATTTATCAATGATGCTCCCACAAAATGCCATGGGTATCTGTTTTGCCTTCCTGATCCTTATGGATGTTCATGTGGCGTCGGTGCCCAGGGTCTTGCATGTAACACACGTAAGTCTTTCGATAGTTTGTGAATTGTGCTCAAATTCTGATAGTGAAACTGTTATGTAGGCTTAAAAGTTGTCATACAATTCACAGAAATTCTATTTTTCTTAAAATATCAAAAGCACATACCAAAATGTAACCGGATTCATGAGTGAGGTCACGCACAACTCATTGGACAACAGAATTAGAAGAAGACGACGACGAAGAAGAAGAAGAAGAACAAGAAGAACAAGAACAAGAACAAGAAGGACAAGAAGAAGTAAAAGAAGAAAAAGTAAAAGAAGAAGAAGAAAAGAAGAATGAGAAGAAGAAGAAGAAGAAAAGAAAAAAGAATGGAAAGAAAAAGAAGAAGGAAAAGAAAAAGAAGAAGGAGATAAATTAATAAGAATAATTTGTTGTAGCATGTAAAATATTTCTGTCTGATGAATGTATAGTACATGTATCTGTAAATCTTGATCTTGTATTTCGAATTCTTTTACAGTATGTTCCATTGGTACATATGGTCCAGGATGTTCACAGACATGTCACTGTGCAAATTCATCATGTAACATCTTTAGTGGAATATGTGCAGGTGGATGTCAAACTGGCTGGTTTGGTGACAACTGTCAAAGTAAGTCCTGGTCAGCAATGATAACAAATAGTATGTCATAAATGCTTTCCTCAATTTTTTTTTTTTTTTAAATCAGAATTTTACTTGTACACTTTAGCTCTGTAATATACTTCTTTATTAACCCATGTCTACATGTATATGAACCGGATCGCTCCTATATAAGGGAGTTTACAGATAGCACATGGTACAAATGACCCCAAATATCCACAGATCTTTTACACATGTTCCACTTTGAGCATAACTGCCAAAGTCCTAGAGATGTGCTTCATGAATACCTTTTGTTTGCCCTCTTGAAAAAAATACTTCCACCTGCGTATCTTAGAATGTACCGTTGGTGCATAAATGAATAATGTTACATAACTTTCATGAGCGCATATCCAGTATTCATCTCTGGTGGGTTTTACCTTTTTGGTACAAATGACCTTTATCTGCCCATGCGCAGATTGTATCTGTAAACTCCCTTATTAACGCCTACTGGAATGCGGTAATAGAAGTTATTATATTCATTTTGTAGACATAACCAAATCAAGCTGTGACTTGAAATCAACTCCTTCAGTGCATTTCATTTTCATTCTATTGATAGAGGAGATGAATTCTTTATTTAAATACGTGAATTTATATAGTGAAGGCACGGTTCAATTCAGGATTATGCGTCATAATTGAAGTCAGTAGATAGTGCAAAAGATTTTGAATTTGAAATCACTAGTCGCAAAGAAAAGAATTATGTAATGAAACAATCTAATTTTTGAGGACTTCATCTAATATGATTTGCTGGTGCCTGTTAAATTGTGGTTTGAAATATTGTTCTTATCAACCTCAGTTCCAGATGAATGTGAAGACGGTTACTTTGGGGCTCAATGCACTGATAAATGCCATTGCTTGTATGATGAACCATGTGGTAAAGATACTGGAGAGTGCCCTGAGCAGAAGTGTGCTCTAGGATACCACATACGAAGTGGCCATGTCAGATGCCAAGGTAAAATCCCTTTTTTCAATAAAGGGTGTTGAATTTTCCATATCAATTCCTATTTCCTATGTACATCAAGTATGGTGCAGTGTGCATGATACATTTGTTCATCCATGATTACTCATAAATACATTTCATAAACATTGGTCACATCAACCAAATATGTGTACGTAGTTCTCGAATAGTAAATACATTACTATAATGTATACTCTGCAGGAGGATTCCAGTCTACAAATATCGAGTTCTTTGACGGGCATTGTTACTATGGTGACTATTTCCCCAACGTTACATTGTAAATGTTCTCTGCCCCGAGTGAAATTGAGGGGCATAGTATAGTAATAATGACTGGTATGATAGACATGGTTGTTTTTATACGCTCGAGGGGATGTTACATCGTGCTATCGCCCCGAAGCAGTCATTCCTTGTGTGGATTCCCTAAAACATATTTTGACAAAATAATCTCTTCAAAGCGTATTTATTTTTGGAGGTAAATTACATAAACTGAGACTGTTTGCCCCAATTATAACCTCATGCATATCTGCAGTTTTTACCAATCAGAGGTCTAGAATCTTGTTATACTGTATATGAAATGCACAATATAACTACGTGTATTATTTGTTCTCATAATTATTACATTGTTGTTCGAAACAAGCCATATTTGATTGGCTTAAACCAACTGCTTTTACTTGCGGGGCTGTCAAAATAGTGGGAGACATTAAACAAAATGTTGAATGTGTATTTGAGAGAGTACGAGAAGTTTTAAATGATGGTTGATGTGATTGATCATGTCAGTAGTGAAAACCAAATTGTCAAAACCAGTCCATTGAATCAGAAGAAATCGAGAAGTAAATGTAATCATTTAGATTCATAGAAACATACTCGCTCTAGCACAATGTACACAGGGCTATGCTTCCAACTGGTTAAAATTGTTGTTAAAGTACTATTCTTCCATTATATGTTTCTATTATGTGATATTACGCTTTTGTATTATTATATTTTAGAGTGTGAAGGGGGTACCTTTGGTTTGGATTGTCTTCAGGAATGTCATTGTGCTCCAGAGGCTTGCGAGGCGCAGAGGGGCCTTTGCAAGGGACAATGCCTTGACACCTGGATTGAACCATACTGCCAAAGTAATTATACCCAACATATTTTGTTCTGGGTTTTTTTCTTTTTCAGCTTAAAATGTTTCAGATTAAAATCAACCTCAGAGTGCATATGGAACTATGAGTGCACAGATTTTATTATGTTTTGCTGTAATTCACAATCTTGCTTCATAGGCTTGTGGAGCAAGTACTTTTACTTCAGTTTAAGCTAATTTATTTTGTAAATTGCCATGAGCATCAGTACCTGGCGAATACCGGCTCAATATAAATGGCCATTATTATTATTAATATCATTATTCTTTTTTGTTGCAGACACTTCAGCATGTACCTATAAGTTCGAAAAATATTTTGTTTTGTTTGCTCAGTATAAAGTTTAAATTATATTTCAATCAATTTACACTAAACATGCATTAAATAGAAGTTTAATGTAAATTTTTTTTTTTTTAAACCTCTTTTCCTTCAAAATATTATCTGTTATGGGATAATCTTTGTTGTACAAAAAACTTTTTCAAGTGGATAAACATCATGATTGATAATAATGAGTGGTTTTAGAAGTGAATTAATGACTTGCTTGCCAGGAGTATTGCATTTATTTACATTAAGTAATTAGATTTGGGGCGAGATAGTCAGATTAAGATCTTCCCTTGTTTAGGTACACCTGTTTGTAAATGTACAAGTTTTTGAGATGTATTTCTTGATAGTAATACTAATATTGAGAAATGACTAGGTTTTAATCTTGTATTGTTCTTAGCGTGTAAAGTTGTATTCAATGTTTTGTATTTTTGCTTGGTTTTTGGCAGGAATATTAAGATTATCGGTTATTGAATATTCTTTCTAGTATAATTGAATTCATTCTCTTATTTATGAATATCATGATTGGTCAATGTTTTACAGAGTATACATGTTGGATTTGTTTGCCATAAGTATTGTCGATGGAAGACAAAAGGCGAGCAGACTTTGAATAAAATAATTAGGCTAGAGTTAGCTATGTGTTGATGAGCATAATTTGGTGTTTAATATCTGGTTTAATTATTGACAGGAATATCAAGATTGGTTACAGTGAGAGTGAACCCATACCAACCATCTAAATTCACATGTTATGTTGAGGGTAACCCACTTCCCGATGCATCCTCCGTTGATCTTTACAGACGTACTGGAAGCACCAATAACAGGACAGGAATCACCAGGAGATCAAGCACTGTCTCAGGGTCAGAACGAGCCATTGTCTTTCATGTTGATAGTGTTTATCCGCAAGAATATGGGGAATACGTTTTCTTTCTATCTGTTGAAAACACTGGCTATCCTAGTATGCCTTATACCAGCGCAACCTATGGTGAGCACACCGTGTGATATCGCTTCAGGGGCGGGTCTAGTTTTTTGATGAAGGGGGGGGGGTGACCCAATGACGATGGATCATCGTCCACGAGCCTTAAAGCGGCGATGCGATTTTGTGTGTGGCTATCTTGAACCCCCGTAAATGATGTTTTCCTGACAATTCTGTTAGTGCACATCACATATTCACTTGGCAGCCCAGGGGGGGGGGTAACCCCCCCCCCCCCCCGTAGATCCGCCCCTGCGCTTTACTCTACGGTACTTATGTGAGAAAAATGTGTAATGGAAAGCAGGAATTCAGTTTCTTTATATGCAGAATCATTCTCAGTATGCATACAAGCCGGGTTACAGGGAATCGATTCAGTTTTTTTTATAGTGTTCTTGTGTACTTTGGTAAATTGTATTTACATATTGACTTGATGGAAGAACTTCAATTATAGGTCCGTCATTGATTTTAACGGTTATTTCAATAAATTGTATTAACTATCTATGTCTCTTTTCCTTTTTGTTTACAGTGCTGCCAGTCATTACGACAGCTCCAGTTGTAGCGAGCGCCACTTCAACTATAGTAGTTCTTCGATGGGATGCATGGTCTGAAGGAGATGACATAGGTGATCCTCCTCTGGTAGGATATAATGTCTTTGTAAAGAAGGATGGTGGTGACTGGGTAACGGATCAGAGAGTAGACCAACTCAAAACATCAGCCTTTGTTATTAACCTGACACCCGACACAGGTTATATGTTTCGTATAGCAGCAGTGAGGGAAGGAACCGGTGGAACAGGACCTTTGTCTCCTCGCAACAGCATAATAACTCACTGTAGAAGTAAGTTTTAGATTGCAGAAAATACACAAGACGTTGAGGATGCCTATTTTGTCAAACTTTTTCAGATTGATTCGGTACATTTATTTACAAATATAGGTACGTGTATTACATTATTAGTAAATGGTTCGACATATATTTGGGATATGTATGCACTTTTTGATGATTGAAGGCTCTTTAACTAATCTAAATTTATGAGTTAAATATGGTACATAGATTTGTTTAAATTTTCCATTCCATATATTCTCCTTTTTAACTTTTCTATATTTTTCCCCCAACAATTTAATAGTGCCCTTGACTGTGCTTTGTCCAATTTTAGTTTCACATTTGACTCGTGAACATTTCATTTAAAACCACATGAAGAGTACTTGTTGTAGTAATGCAAATTGTTACTATGTACATGTAATTAAATCATCTAATTTAGATCCTTGCCATCTAATATCTTCTATATAACGTTAAATTTCAGAACCGAGCGCTTCTCCAACGGGACTACAAGTGGCAGCCATCAACCCTAAAGAGCTAGAGGTGACATGGGAGGTATGTATTGTTTTAAGAATAGCTGTTTGGTCACTTGGCGATATGTAGTTGGATGAAAATCGTCGTCCAGAGCACAAAATGCTCTCCTTTAACGAGTCATATTTGAATTACATACAGGTAAAACCTCACCATTACGATATGGAGCTGGTAAAGACACGTACAACCTTGATAACTTTTAATTTTACCTACAATTTCCTGGAGATATGTCAAATAAGAACTCCATCACACCACTTTCTATTTTTCGATGTTTCTTTACGTACCTTAACAATTGACCTAATTGAATATATCTTGTGTACAATTTGTTTTATTTAAATGCACCAATTTCTTTGTTTGCTTTTGAAAGTAAGAGCTGTTGGCTTTTTAAAATGGAGTTTTGATTTTATTTTACAGAAGGAAGCAAATATTAAAATAATTTGTGTAATCAAGAGATTCTTGTTAAGCAGGATGATATAGCAGCATCCTTATTAATGCGAAAAACTGTATGCAAGTTATGATAACGTCTCACAGTTTTGTTTATTAGTATGAAAGTAACTTCTTTTATGTGGTTGTGATGCAAGTTATATGTATTTGCACTTTTATGTTTCAGCACCTCCTCTCGGAATTAGCAGACTGCAGGAGTGGAGTGACCCATTATACGATCTACTATGCTTCTACTGGATCAACTTCTTCAAACTCTATCTTGGTTTTTCGTGACACTAGCTCCTACACAATAAGAGGATTAGACACCTATCTGGACTATACCATTCAATTGACTGCATCAAATAAAGATGAGGAGGGTGACAAGAGCAGTGAGACTATCGGCAAAACAATTGAAGAAGGTTGATGTTTATCTTGGGCTTTTTTTCTTCTTCTGGGTTAGGGGTAATAGTTGCTTTGCCTGTTAATTGTCATAGTAAATATTGTTGTAGATATTTTTGACACAACCTTCGTCGAACATTTTTTTTTGGGGGGGGGGGGAGTTTTTTTTTATTTTTTACTTTTCGTTCATTTCACAATATAATTTCAGTTTCATCTACAAATTTAATTGATCTTGATAGAGTGGGAGTCATCTATTCTGCTAGACTTCAAACTCGACTATTTCAGGCATAAGAGTACTTTTTCCTTTTCCTAATGTTTTTAAATTTGCATTGTGATTCCAACGTTGATTGTCTTTGTATACAATTAGTCACTGTTATTATACTCATTTAATATTCGTTTTCTGAAATAATAAATTGCACAAATATTTTAGATGAGACTAACAATAGTAGTTGATATTCCGGAATATTAATACATAAGTGTACTGTATTTCAGTATGACATTTTATAAATCATTTTCTTCTAATCAGTCGCGCCTGCTCCTATCAATGTGACTATACCGAAGAGTACTACAAGCTCCTTCACTGTATCCTGGTCTACCCCTCTACCATCTAACACCAATGGTAACATCCAGAAGTATATCATCCGCTACCAGCAAACTGATCCCATTGTTGATGGTGACTATAAGATGGAGGAAGTATTTACTGGTGCATTTGATGGAGAACATACTGTGATGAACCTGCCCCGTGAAATCAACTATACAGTTCAGGTGAGATGTCTTGATCTCAATACTTAAAGACCGTCACTACTACTTGGCCAGAGGGGATTAGACCACACAGCGAGGTCACTGACAGGTGGCTATCTCATTAACTCAGCTCTCAACTAACATAAGAAAAAGAGGATCATGGGGGACCAACAGGCACCGATTGGGGAAGTTTTCTATATAGAGGGAGCGAGTAGCTGCAAGTAGGACAGTGAGGCTTTAAGACCTAACGATTCAGGGAATTGTCAATCTCTTCATATTCTAGGGCAATCTTTCCATCGTAGATTGAGCTCTTATCCTAAGCTGTGTTTGAGATATATAAATATATAAAATATATTAAATCACAAAATTGATTCTCTTTCATATTTGTGCCATTAATCTAACAAGCAATCCCCAATTTAGTGCATGATATTGCATAAAAATCGCTTTTGTTACCTTGTTTGGCGTTCAACAATAAGGGATAGAGCAACGTTGATCAGTGGCTGCCGGGCTCACGATCAATTGGGCAAAAAGAATTTCCATTTTCAGTTTAACTTAATAAAATTTGGAGTGGACTTTAAATTATTATTATTATTATTATTAAATATTAACTGTTGTGGTGCGGACGCTTATGATGATTGTAGATTGGTATTTTCTCGATGATATGATTAACCATATCATTATTACGTGAAGACAAGACTACTCAGGTTTACACATTTCCTTTTTGTGTTTCGTGTAAAGATGATGTTTGTATTGTCATTATTACTGCAACAACATATTTTTATTTCCATGTTTGTCAGGTCCGAACAGTCAATGGAGCTGGTTCTAGTCATTGGTCTGAGCCAGTGAATGCAAAGACCATCTCAGGTAAGAGCATGAATCGAATGAAACTTGTTCTACTCTGAATGTCATACTTAAAAATACTGTAGGTAATGTCGTTTTTTAAGGATGTAGAGGTCAAAATCATTCGGCATTTAATTAATTGTTCATTCATTTTCGTATGTGCTATATTACTCACGTTTAGTTTATAATGCAGATCTCAAATGTGACTTCTTTCTTTTTTTCTCACAAATGCGACTTTAAGCTTTTGAATTTAAAAGGATTACGTGCCTCACAAATCTAATTCATTATTATTTTCATTATTAGTAGTAATTAAGAGCTACATGTAAAACTAAAGTCAGTATGTAATCGTGACATATATGAAAATATAAACATAAGTGTGTAGCGTTTCAGTGTTATTTACATCTCCATAATTTTTCTTTTTTCCGTTTGCTTTTCTGAATCCCTTTGGAAAAGTTGAGTAGTCTGCATTTATCATGTATTATTATTGAATGTATGAAACCGAAACATTTTTATGTTTTCTCTTTTTTGAAACTTCATGAAAAGAAAAGAAAAGGTGTCATTTATAAACGTTTATAATTTACACAAAATGAAGAACTTAAATTGTGAAACCGACCTACAAAAAGTTCGCATAATTAATGATAGCATAATTACATGTATATGTATTTTTGTTTGTGCTAAAGGTGATGATAATGGTATCAGGATATCACTAGAGGCTGTGATAGGGGGTGTGATAGTACCCCTCGTTATCATCGTAATAATAATAGTTATTGTGGTGATGTATAGAAGGTAAGTTAGCTCAACAACAGTAGACAATTCATAATGAATTCCATGCCACTGTCTGATAAAATTGTTAAAAATAAAGATTATTTATTGTACATTTGACGTTGAAAAAAGTTAGAATACTTGACTATCTATAGTGAGACAATACGCCAATGGATAAAACATTGCAACATTTTCGTATTCTAGATGCCATTAAATAAATATATATCTGCAATGAATTGTATATAATGTTTTAAAACTTTTTGTATGACAAGGGGCATCCATAATCACACTCACGCAGCTTTTATGCTCATACGGACCATTCCTACTTCAATTTTATCGAAACTTTGATTGTATGTGTGGGTGTAGAGGATGTGGGTGTGTGTATGTGAATTCAATGACGTTACAAAGGTGAAGGAAATAAATGTTGTTTTGAATTGAATTTCACTTCCAGGAACAAACAAAGGCGTTTAAACGCTGAATCAGCCACGTCGCCACCATCTACTGCACATGTGACGTCCTCGAAGTATGGAAACCCTGCATATGATGACTCGGACACAAATACATACCAAGATCTTCAAAGAGACACACCAAACTACCAGAATTGTACCGACCCCCGTAGCTATCAAGATCGCACCAACGTTACCTATCAAGAAATTATCACAAAATCAGATCCAGGAGACACTTACGAAGAAATATAGATTTAACCCAAGCGTGGCTGAGGGGTGTGATGCCAGCATTGATACATGCTGGATCAACAATTATGAACATGTTATGCAATACACAGAGTTTGCAAAACATGTATTTATCTGAATGCTCATGCTAATCCATTTTTATACGTGCTTTTTATTTGGTACTAATCTATTTCAATGGTTACAAGAATTATAACGAAACTTAAACATGCATTTTCGAAGTTTTATAGAAACAGCATATATGTTATGTGAATCTTAAATCATAACTCGCTAACCAATAAAGGGAGGAAAGGGTAAATGTATGTCTAAGTTCTTCAAATTTACTTTTATTTACAATGCACGGATGCCACTTATAAAATATTAACTACTGTTGTACAGGAAATGCTATTTTATATGCTTTTTGTTTTTTTAACTTAAGGATGTGTAACGTTCCTCATTGTCAAGCAATAGATCTCTTTTTAGATTCTTTTCACGCGTAGATTATAAATAATCTTGTGTTGTAAGAAAACACACTGCTGGTAGTAATGATGGAAATTTTTTGTTTACCCCAATTTATGGATTTATTTTGACAATGATTTATTCCTAATAGATTTAGATAATAGTATACATTCTCAGATTTTATTGGATAATAATTTGCGAGTGTTTGTTTTGCGTGTCTGCTAAAGCATGTGTGTGCTACTATGCTTATCATCTAGGGGACCTACGTCATTAAGTCATAACTGACAGTAATGAGGATTTAATGCCTCACAAAAGGGCACTAATATAGCACCTCGACACGGTTTTTAACCCTGGAGCATAACAGATACGAGGCCATTGCTTTGCCTCTGAATTATGACTGTACGCAGCGGGGGCTAGGGTAGGGGGCCGCCCCCACAAATACAAAAAAACGACGAAAATGCGATAAATTATTAAAAATTCATTGCATCTCCCCCCCCCCCTCCCCACGGTCCCGAACAGGAAAATTCCTCTGTGCGACCATGCCTTAAAACCATAATGCCTATAAATGACTATTTCAGGCATTAGAGTACAAGGGTTGGATTGCACTGTAAGTGAGTCTTCATTTACTCAACATAATATGCAATACTATAAAGTGTAGGCCTGAAAAAGCATATGCACTGTACTATAATTTTAGTAAATTTAGAGCTATTTGTAGTTTCGTATACATGCATTGCTAGTTAAGTGTAGGCCTGAATTATATGCACTGTAATATATGTCTTTTATCTATTATTGAAACTTTGAAAAGAAACAAGTTTTCGGCGTATGAATAATGTCAATAAAGTACATTATTTGTGAAGTTATTGGCGATTTATTATTAAGCAATTAAAGCAAATTTTGAGAACTAGAGTCTATTTAGATTTCTGTATCCCATTATGTTAACGGCATTTGTGCGTGGTCACCATTTGTATTGGATGGGGTAGTTCCTGGATTCTGTTTGCATCCTATAACATTAAACTATGTGACCTATGTATTTCAGGAGGTTTCCGGAGTTGAGGAAAAAAATTGCTTGGTTAGTGTATGTATGTGAGTGTGTGTGTGCGTGTGTGTGTATGTAAAAAATAATATTGATAATTAATAACATAACCTCCAGATTTGTTTTTAAAGATTGTTAAAGAGTGAATAACATGTACAATTGATTTATAAATGATGTTTATGTACTTTAAGTTCACTTTGTTGCTCAGTTATATAGGCCTATACTGCAAATGAGTTTTTGTTTAATAATGTTTATGTATAAGTAATTGATATTGAAAACGTTTACTTAAATTTATTCAATTGTATGTTGTTCTTGTTTGTATTACAAATAACAAAATTTACTAAAAATAAAAGTGCATGGGTGAGTGTCTGTGTGTGTGCGTGTGTGTGTGTGTGCGTGTGTGTGTGTGTGTGTGTTTGTGTGAGTGTAAGTTTCAATGTCACTCAATGTTTGCTTGGATGGGGTAATATGTTTTATGTTACAACTGATTTCATTTTTTTTCTTCATCAATCGTACAATCTATGTAATGGAAAATGTTTTGAATTCATGGCAAGATGAAAAACAACTGTATTTTATTTCTAAGATTGATTTGTATTGTTTGGAAAATATAAAACAAACTATTGAAAAAAAACACACTTTCAGCTTTTCCTTAAAGCAATACCTCATTAAATTAAGATAGGAAGAGAGAGAGAAAGAGAGAGAGATAGGGAGACAAAAAAGAGATAGGGAGAAGGAGAAGGGGAGAGAGAGGGGGATAAGGAGAGAGAAAGAGAGAAGGAGACGGGGAGGCATAGAGAGAAAGAGAGGGAGAGAGAGGGGAGAGAGAGAGAGAAGTCGAATGGGAGACATAGAAATAAGGATAAAGAGAGAAAGAGGGGGAGAGAGAAAGAGAGAAAGAAGAGGAGACAGAGAGGTAAGGAGAAAGAGAGGGGAGGGGTGTAAGCGAGTGAATGGACTACAATGAAAGAAGGGGTGAATGAAGGAAAGCGTCACCAAATCATCATGATAAGGTGTTAAACTATGCTGCTAATTATGGACCTAGTATGAAGGATGTTTTGTGCATTTCGTCAATTCCCTATACCCTCTCAATTTGTCTTACCAAATACTGGGGCCCGTTTCATAAAACGTGTTATCTATAACAACTGCTAAATTTCTATGACAAATTTGCTCTCAGCCAATCAGATGCCATGATTTCAGTAGTTTATAACTACAGTAGCTTGTAACTTGTTATTGATATCAAGTTTTATGAAACAGGGCCCAGCATGATAAAATGGGTGGGACTAAGTGCAGTGAACTGATAAAAAAAAAAACTTGTTATTGATATCAAGTTTTATGAAACAGGGCCCAGCATGATAAAATGGGTGGGACTAAGTGCAGTGAACTGATAAAAAAAAAAACACTTTAATATATTCTCCTGATGTACTGACCCACTTGGCACCATGTGTTTATTGAGAGCACTCAAGATTAATGTTGAACTGCGCGCACATTTTATATTAAACACTCGCCATACATTATCAACGCCATGTTCTAGATTGCGCTCGAAAACTCGGTAGGTCGAATCTCTTTTATATCTTCTCCTGATGTAATGACCCACTTGGCACCCTGTGTTTATTGAGAGCATTCCAAATTAATGTTGAACTGCGTCCACATTTTATATTAAACACTCGCCATGCATATCAACGCCATGTTCTAGATTGCGCTCGAAATCTCGGTAGGTCAAATCTCTTTAATATCTTTTCCTGATTTAATGACCCATATGGCACCATGTGTTTATTGAGAGCATTCCAAATTCATGTTGAACTGCGTCCACATTTTATACTAAACACTCGGTAGGTCAAATCTCCTCATTGTATACATGCTACTCTTCTTACTCATCATTGTAAACTAAAATGATTATGCACACGGGGTACTTGGTGATGGGGTGATGGAGGAGAGGGAGGGGGAAGCGATGGGGAAGGGGAGAAAAGCAAAGTGTAGAGACGTCAGAAAGAAAGACAAGGAGGGATCAAGAGGGAAATGCAACTCTTCCCTCTCTATTTCCATTTCTTATTTTCTCTGTCTCTCTGTCTCTGTCTCTGTCTCTCTGTCTCTGTCTCTCTCTCACTCTCTCTCTCTCTCTCTCTCTTTCATTTTTGTTGTT